ATTTTGACGAGTCGGAACATCTTTTCGCAATTTTTGCAAATCTGATAGATCAAGATAAATGCCCCTACAAAAGGCCCAAAAAGTCTCGGACTCGTTTTTTTTAATTTCGGTTTTGTATTTGCGCCATTTCGATTTAAAGGTGAAAAGAGGTGTGAAAATGAGCTATTTAGAATCCATTCAGGCTTTTCATATTTTAAAATATTTCTTCGTAACTTTCATAAACTTGTAGCATTAATCCATACGAAGAGAATCTATCTCAAAATTAGTTTGTAATATGAGCAGTTGCCGAGAAATGGTCAATTTTGCATGGGTCACTCTTTACACTATTTTGCCTGTAAAAGAATCAAATATTATTGAATTTTCATAACAGTGACACCATTTGATGCGTAATGTCAATTGTGACTAGTTCAAACCAATTTGACACTTTCAGTGTCACCAGAAATGACGTAATTTGGGCAAAAACGGTATTTTTTAGCCTTCGAAACAAATAATTTATTCAAATGGGTCTTATTTGTTGTTTGTTTAAAATTTTGACATTTGATTCCAATCAACTGATAGAATGAAACCATACAATCATATAGATATCACAAAATGGTTTCTAACTTGTACAGTTGTGGAGACATAGGCGATTTTCAACAGGTCACTTTTCAAGGTTTTTGGTCCATAAAAGTGTCAATTATTATTCAATTTTTATAAAATTTTCATTATGTGATACCTAATTCCATTTATGATTTCATACAAGTAATTTAAGATTTTCATTATCACCGGAAGTAACGTCATTCTGGCAAAAACTGTATTTTTAGCCTCTAAAACAAATACTTGTTTGAAGGAAGCGATATTCATTATTCGTATAAAATTATGATATTTGAGTCCTATGGACAAATAGTATAAACCAATACGATCATATTGATGTCACAAAATTGTTTCTAACATCTTCCCTTGCCGAGAAATAACTAATTTTGTCAGGAACACTTTCTAAGATTTTTTTTTTGCATTTTAATTTCAGTTTATGGGTTCTGGGTTAATTATTTGTTGCCTGATTTTCGTAAAAGAAAAGCCCATATGCTCCGTGGTGACAATTCTCAACTTTTTGCTACCGATGAAAGTTTCTGTCGGCACCAGAAGTGACGTAATTTTGCCCAAAACTTCAATTTTGGTGTGTAACAATGGTCGTTTAAAAAGAAAATATTAATGTTTACAAATCTAATAGATCAAGATAAATGCTCCTACTAAAAACGCAAATTATGTCTTGCTTAGTTATTTTTTTTATTTCGGTTTTGCATTTGCGCCATTTTGATTTAATGGCTATTTACAATGCATTCAGGCTTTTCATATTTTAAAATATTTCTTGACACCTCTCATGAACCTGTAGCATTAATCCATACGATGACAATGTATGTCAAAATTAGTTTGTAATATAAGCTGTTGCCGAGAAATAGGCAATTTTGCATGAGTCACTTTTCAAGTTATTTTACCTGTAAACGAGTTAATTATAAACCAATTTTCTATTTTGTTTTCACCATGTGATGCCCAATGCCATTTTTGACTGGGCGCAACCAATTTTACATTTTCACTGTCACCGGAAATCGCGCCATATGGGCAAATATTTTATTTAACTGCGTGGTATTAGTAATTTGTTTATAATTAAGATTAACATGGCACCGGTGAAACCCGTCATTACTGCGTCGCAGTTCTAGTCAAAATTATTATTAATATTGTCGGATACACTTTGTTTTCTTACTACGGACGTAGCCTGACTGTATCCAAGAAAGCAAACTCAATGAACCAACGAGGCCGGGATATAAGAATAAGGAATAAATTATACTTACGTTTTGCCATGATGATCGTCTAAAAGAACTATGGTGCCATTGGTTTGAATAATCCTTGGTTTATTTGCCTCCTTGTAAAACCAGCAAATACAACGTTTGCGTGCATTTAAATTCAGGCGATGTAATCCCATAATTTTCACTCGGTGATCTTCTGGTTCCGCAAATGCAGAAAAAACAAATGAATTGTTCATATTATCAAGAATTTGCCATGTATCACTATTTTCAGGCCAAGTGAGGTTCACGGCGCATGGTTTCTCTGGCACAGCCTTCCTTCGTTTTTCGTTGTCAAGTTGCGATATTGCTTTTTTGACGACAACCTGTTTTGTAGACGTTTGTTTTGAGCTTGTCCTTGTCTCTGGTATTCCAATCATTCGTTCGGAATATTTTGTTCCAATTTTCCCGTTCGCCATTTTCGACTGAAAAGTTATACTTTCACAATTATTTTTTTGGTATGTATAAAGTATTAAAAGAACAAATGGTAGGCATATCGTACATAAAGCCGATTTCAATCTGGGTTTCATTTTCCTCAAACATTCACTCTACACGCCGAAAAGTATTACTAATGCGAATCTTACAGTGTTCAAGGGCTTAAAAGCCACGTGGTTTAGCCGAATGGTTAGCACATGCGCTTTGCATCATAAGCTCTGTCATTGAGTCAACTGGCTTGGTTTCGATTGCTTAGTTGTACGTGACAAGGAGTAAGGTCGCCTGTCCAACCTTGTGGATTTTCTCAGGGTCCTCCGGTTTCCTCCCACTGCTAAAGACCCCTACCGGCAAGCGAATTATTGAAATAAAATTGAACCATATCATGTGTTAGCCCCGAAATGACCAAGTTTGTGTCGAGTGGGCGTTAATCCTCTCTCTCTGTGTTAAAAGCCGCGCGATCAACATCTCAAGTTACTTGTAATCCCCATCCATGTGTGTATCCCCGGAATTAGATTTCATAGAGTCAAAGATCGAAGTCCTGTGTTAATAGTTAAAGTAACCTGTGTACATAATATTAAACATACATTATGCAAGAGCTAAATCTGTCTATTACAGGTCTTTCTTTAGGCATGCAATGTTATCTAAATTATTAAACATATATTATGGGAGATTTTAATAGAGAGTTGGTCATTCTTGCTATAACAGTTCAAAAACAGATGATGAAAGAAGAATATATTGAAAATTTCAGTCAAATTACTTTATTCTGAACAAAGTTATCACCATTGTAATTTTTGACTAGAAATAGAAGTCAACTCTCTCTTCACCGTCTCCGAGAATGGCCGATCGTTTGATTGACAGGCGTTAACTCCACCTACATAATCTCGATTATCAAGTAACGTTTTCAATGGCTGTGGTACCGTTAGCCTATTCGGTTTGAGACGGGGTTGCAATTCAATTCGTATCACATTTATTTTTACTACAAATTAAAAATAAGACTTTTAATATATAGATAAGAAGCGAAAGTTTGAAAGGAATGGACCAAATCAATGAGGCATAATTATAGTCGACTTCTTGTTAGCCTGCGTGTACTCTTGAAGCAGACAAATAGGAATTGCGATGTTTATTAATTTCCATAATTTTTTTGTAAACGCAAGTGACAAATGAGCGTATACTACCGACATCCAAACTCTCATTAAACATAATATCAAGGCCGTATATATCGAACTTCCAATCAAATTGACTGACATGCGGCCTCGCTCAACAGCGCCCTCGCTTCGTACACCCTATCATTTAGCCTCGATCTAAAATTTCCGGGAATATGACGTCAACGTAACGGTTAATCTCCGCTTACGACGCCATTTAAAAATTTAATCAATCAATGAAATCCTGTTTAAATCCAAGCCGAATCCAAGTCATCCATGGGTCTACAGAGTTGATTTTGTGCTTGTTGTGTAAATAAAGATCTAATTTATAATTTCTATGACATCTGAAGCCTAAATAAAGACTTGCAATAATCAGATTTAGCTCTTGCATAATGTATGTTTAATTAGACATTAATTAACCTATCTAGACCATAATCAAATCTAGATGGCATCTCGATCTTTAGTGGATTATGAGCCGATTTACTGCATACCTTTCCTTCATGATTTAACGATTAAATGGATAATCGAGACTATGCTGTTTAACGTACTGACTTTAATAATGATGATCGAGGCTAGACGGGAATTTCAATCGCTTAGTTCTCGGTTTATAGTGGATCAATTTGAATGAAATTTTCAGCAAATTCCCTTTATATTATCTAGTTTTTAACTATTATAGTGAGAAATGCCAACTCGTTATCGAATCTCCCATAAAGTATTTTTAAGATAATCAAACACTTAGGAAAACAATCACTGAGTTTAATTTACACTACGTTTCAACAAGTTCCCCTTACTATCATACTGTCATTACTTACTTGATAACGACAAGGGGAACTCGTTGGAACGTAGTGTGAAATAAATTGTAATAAAATTGAACCATATGTTAGTCCCGAAATGACCTAGTTTGTGTTGAACATGCTTAAAACAAACGCGGTGACTAGGCGATCATTCACGGCCATGGAGACCACAGCACGATATCTGGCATTTCCACCACGCATTTACCGCGCTTATGGCGATCTAGACGCGCTCTGCGGCCATTTTCCGTCGCCGTAGCGTCCCAGTAAGGATGTCACCCCAGTCTGACGAATGTATTATGAGGCAAGGTACTGCTTTTCGTTTATGCTAGGTTCCCACTATCACGATTCGCGATACGGTTGAAATCGTGGTTTTAATCTTGGAGTAATCGTGGTGATCCTATCAGGTCTTATATTAGCAATCGTGTTGATCGTATCGAAACGTATCCGAACGTATCTGCACATACCAGATCGTAGACTCAATAGGGATAATCCTATCGTAACGCATCGCACGACAGTGGGAACGTAGCACTACTTGGAAAGTTCACGAGTAGACAAATATACTAGATACATGTAGATTCTACAACAAGCATTGTCATACAAACCGGAACAACCTTTAAATCATAACTTCAAGATCTTGTGTGAGTGTTTCAGCAGTTAGGGGTCGGAGTCCTTCGCCTAACACACGTCCTGTAACCTCTCACGTAAAAATTTTAACACAATATACATCAATCATACTAAAACTATGTAACAAATATCGTGGGTTTCGTGCAAAATTATAACAGTGTCAATTGTCCACAAATATAACTGTGTCAATATAACTGTGTCAATTGTCAACAAATATAACTGCGTCAATTGTCCTGTATCCTTCGACTGCCCAGAAAAGAAAATATCTGTTATTCATAAGAGCTGCTCGCTACAAAGTGACGCGTGAGACGGGGCATCCCCAGGCCCCTACCTTAATTAAGCTACAATCTAAGGTCGAGGATCATCAGAAGAGTTTAGATGTTGAATTAACTTCAGCCAAAATAAATCAATACTTTCCTCACTCCATCCCCATTTTATATAGTCATCATCCTTTAAGATTCTATGAACGGTCTTAGTAACATTAACAACTCCCAGTTCCTCTAGCAAAATCACAATCATTAAATCTCGTCTTTCACTTAAGATTCGTTCATAAGCTACGCTTGCTTCGAACTCACAGTAATGATCAACAGCGAAAGTTTCCGACATGCACAAGATGAACCTCCTGCTAGCATCCATATTCTCAATTATATTATCAATTTTATTTCCAACCCCATCTCTCTGTGGGAGAAAGACGTGGAGATTCAACTCGTGTTCTAGTCTTGGTAAAATATTTTCCAAAATAAAATCTACATCGTCTTCACTACAGCTTAAATAGATATCGTACTGATAGCTCCGTCGTTCAGTGGCGAATCTTTGGAGTCTGAGGTGGTGGTATCGGAGTATGTAGACGAAGTATCGAAGGTGCCATCGATATCTGTAAACCAGTGATATCGCGAGTATTAAAAGAAGTACTCCTATCGACACTGATGTTATTATCAAACTTATAACGGGGGTTAACAAACAAAAGCGATTACTTATAGGTGTATCAATAATCCTCATGCCCCGCCAATCACTAGGCGTTGAACACGTATATTTATTTGGGAACATATGAAGCGTTTTAGCAAAGCCCTTGGTCTTCAGTAATCGCGCAAATCAAAGTAAATTCGCACAGGAACAAGAATATGGATTGTATGATAAGTCAAGCCGTGATAAAACTTGTATTGTTTCATAAGAAAAAGAATGTTTGTTAATTGTCGCAATTTGATTAGACGTCAAGTTTAATATTCGCAGCGACGTTAAGTTTCTAAAATAATCGTTTGTCCACCATGAAATATAATTGTAACTTACATCAAGAGACTCCAGCTTCAGCATTATTCTTGGAATAACAGGAGGTAATGATCCAATACCGGTATCAGAAAGTTTCAGATCTTTCAGTTTCGTCAATGTTACAAAGAGTTCGTCGAAGTATTCGTTTGATTTTGAGTAAAGATGGCTTTTGGATAGTTCCAATTTTTCTAGGTTTGCGCAACTATTTAATGCCCCTACATACAAGTGATGCGCGTGTTCGGCGTTGCCCTTTAAATAAAGATTAATAAAGCTGGAACTATTAAAGGCATGATCCCTGATCCGAAATGCTGAACCGTTAAGGTCGGAATCGGTTTCGGTTTCGAAATCAGTTTCGGAATGGGTTTCGGAATCGGTGCAAAATCCAACTCTTTTATCCAACACGTACGTAAACTAAGGACGGAGAGATTTTTCAGGTGAGTGAAGTCAGTGTGGTTGTAATAATCGATATAAGTCGAGTTCATTACAATTTTAGATACTGGGCTGTTCTTCATCGCAGAGAGGAAGTATGTTTTGCTCAATCTATCCTTAAACGTTAATTTAATCAATTGAAGCTCTTGAAGCTTCGGACTTATCACGCCCATCAAACAATAATATAACAGTCCATATTTTATTTTTTTCTCTTTATAAATTCCTAGTATTTGAAGCTCTTTTAAGCTACGGAATGCAAACCGCGAACAGTAGCTCAAATTATTTGCTTTTAAGTAAAGATGCGTCAAAGACGAAACATTAGAAAAGGTGTCGTTTTTTATATGTGGTAAAAAGTTATCCGAAAATGTGAGCTGTGGGATATTGGCTGGTAATTTGGGAATGTAGGATAATAAGTGTCGGTGCCCAGAACACACGGCAACATTCCCCGTACAATTACACATGTTATCTCCACAAGAGTAACTATCGATCAACACGTCGGGTATTTCGCGTAAGGTTCCATCTTGGTTCGCCTTTGATGAAAGAACAATAGAGGAATTAGCCGAAGTTCCATTAGGGTTTAGATGAATTCCCCGGCTATAGGCCGCATCAAGGAGAAAAATAATCCCAAGTACGCTTTTATAGATATCCACGGTATCTTGTCTACACTTGTTTAACGGTAATAGTAGATTACAATCCAGAAAAGGCTTTTTAAAAATGCATCATATAGACTGCATTGTTAATAAATGTTACAACGGATGTATATATTTGTCACATCTGTCTATTATAAACGATGACAATTACAAAAAATGAAGTTCCAGACTTTCCCCGTGTTCATTAGTAACGGCCAAACATTCCTGCTGTTTTCAAGGAAAACATAATAATGTAGATTATCGATAAAAGGTTCTTGTGGCACGTATTCTGTGAATATAGATTATCGAAAAAAATTATTTTTGTGGCACACACTCTGTGAATTTAGATTAACGGTAAACAGTTCGTGTTGTGGCACATATTCTGTGAATGGAGATTATCCCCCCAAAAAAAACTTGTTGTGGCATAACTTCTGTGAATATAGTTTATCGATAAAAAGTTTTTGCTGTGACATTAATTCTTTAAACGTAGACACAGTCTGGTCACCAACTCTCCATAGCTGCGAGTTCATGACATTGTGGTGTATCCGATACAGGTTAGAGCCTTCGTTTATTTCTCGTGTACAAACATTGAACTATAATAATATAAAAACAATAGTTTACATACTAAAACATCTATAATAAATTACATCTATTGAAAGAGAGAGAGAGAGGGAGGGAGAGAGAGTGGGAGAGAGAGAGAGAGAGTTTAGACCCTATTCCTTGCCACGTACAACCGGGGATTCGAAACCACACCAGTTGACTCAATGACAGGCCTTATAATACAGCGCGCACGTGCTAACCATTCGGCCATCCAATCCCTCCATGAAAGATAATGAAAACGACCCAGGTGTTTACTTTAAATCCATCATATAAAGTTTTACTCAATACTGCACTCATATATTTTATTTCTATGGGAAGGAAACAAGAAACAAACAAAAAATCGGGAAGCCACGGTGGCTAAGTGGGTAAGACGCTGGCTCGCTAGCCTGGAGGTCGCGTGTTCGATCCATGCATAGAACTAAATACACTGGAACGCCCAATCTGTTTTACAGACCTAATGCGACATCCGTCTTTTATCTCTGTCCAAGATGACTGACCTTTAAAAGGTCAGACCGCTGTAGTTCTAAGGGTGACGTCACATCACAATGTTTACCAACAAAGCAAGATGGCATCGATAACGCCAAAAAAGATTACTTCTGTGGCTTGTAAACAAACACGAGCAGGTCAATCAGATTAGACGGTAAAAAATGTACTTCTGAAAGAATTCAGAGTAAACAAACAGAAAAAAACGTCTAATTGATGGTCACACGTGCGTTGTTTACATCGAACGTAGTAATATGAACTGGTACGGGCAGAATTATATCGTTTTACCCATTTTACGCCTCCGCGTACTATTTTCTGTACCTATTTACGCTAATTATGGAATATTTTTTATCAAGATATACTTCAAACACCTTTATTTATTTTTCTAATACTAAAAAAAAATGTTTCAGAATTTAATTTGTCGAAAGAAAAAAGTTAATATTTTGTAGTCATTAAGTCGCATCGATGTCATCCTTATCAGTGATTGTAGCGGCCAAGCGAATATTCACTGCGGATCAGTGTGTGGAACGCCAACGAGCGTCTACTTCCGGTAAAATTTGTGGCTGTGTGACGTGCTTCGAAAAAGTGCCCAGTTTACTTCCGGTATATTGTTATTATCACGTAATTTTGTTAGCCTGATAATGTTGAAAGCAAGCGAGTGAATTGGATTAAATATTTATTCATTTGTGCCTCACTCCAAACAAATGTTGTGATCTTCGCTCATCATTTAATATGTAACAGGCATTGCCTGAGTAGAGCGAAGCTGATTATTGTCAAATATAAAACCTTCATAATTAATTTTCTCAAGTGATACAAAAAATGTTAAATAATTTAGTTTTTCCAAATTGATTTTCATTTAGATCTAATTTGTATACATTAATTTTGTTTTTTAAAAAAGAACAAAAAAGTGTGAGAATTATTTTCATTGACGTCAAAAATATGTGACGTCATTGATTAGACGCGTCATAGAAATAGTTCTATGAGGCGCGTAATCTCGCTTGGGCGAGATTTGGTAAGTTGACATGCGCATTGCCTGTTTTGCCCAGTGTATCCGGTTCCTGTCTGAATTTTTTTTTAATCAACAGTCTGTGGGTGACAATTTCAGTTACGCTCCTGTGTTACCGGAAAAGAGCTTTGCTCAACCACCGCGCTTCGCGCGATGCTGTAGAGCTTCGCTCTATATTATTGATATAAAAAAAATGTCATAAATAATGCAACAGGGAGAGTTGTAAAATGACGAAGAACTGGAAGCGACGACGTCGACTGGCTGCCAGCACAGTACAATTTACAAACTGCGCACTGTCTTTATAAACAGGTATGTTGAAAATTCACTAATGTCATTAGGCCTATAATTCATAGAATCAAGTGATCGGTTTTTTTTTTTGAGAAAACATAAATGAATCGATTTACAAAATAATAATGTAATGACTGGTTTAAGTCGGGGACGGAATTACGTACCAAACCCTTTTGTTTACTATAGACTTATAGGCCTGTCAGGAATGTGAATGAATTTCAAAAAGTTGATTTAGTAATATTTCAGTGAGCACAACCATACTTCTAATTTTACAATATTGGGGAACTAATAAAATAAAAGTACAAAAAAAATGAATACTGGTATTTTGTTTTTAAATTTAAATTATTTGATCTAATTCAAAGAAAAATGTACAAATGGAATTTTCCTTTTGAATATTATTTCTTTGTGAAAAAAATCACATGATAATCAAGAAGAAAAGGATATCAGATTTGTGTCATTGAAGGAGTGGATTTGTATATAAATGAAGGCCTTGTTTGAGTAAAATTAAAAGAGCTATCAAGTGAATAATGCTGATTGAAGAAAGTTTTTCTTGTGCCAATTCCCATGGCATTACCTGAAATCGGTCGTACTTTCTTGGTATTGAGTCTGATTTGAATATAAACCCATCTGTAAAGTCTGACACCAACTGCCTTTTTAATTTATGCATAAATTATATTAGTATAACTAAAACTGCATTTCTCTTTATTCAACTGTAAAATTTATTTGTAATTTGTAGACACAGAAATCCCTGAAGAAACTCTATTTTATGTTCAAACATACTACTACTAATAATTAATATGTATTTTTTTTCAGACCAATAATACAAAAGCCATTGTATTTAATTTTATGAAGAACTTTCATTTGATGTGAACAAGGAATTTCAAACATGGAAGAAGGACAATAAAATATAGTTCCTAAATAACCACCCGCACTGAGTGTTGATTCATCCCTAAATCCTAACTTTAAAATAGTTGTTGCACTGAATGAAAAGCAGGCTGTTATGCGAGTGCCTGAAAGACTTTGAAATATATTATATATTTCTTGTGAAAAATTGGAATAGACTCAGCTATCAACTGACTGTACATTATACACTTTCAGTTACACATTCTATTTTTTGGAAATAATTTTAATAAATATAATGAATGAAATCATTGGATTATTGTGAATATTTTGAAAATGTACTAGGGATAGAGACTGTCTATCTTGTCCACTCAATGAAATTATGAATTCTCCTCAATGTGTTTAAAGTCAATTTCTATTCAATTCATAAGATATGCAGGGTCTTGTGTGTACTGGTACAGGTGTATTCAGTAAACTGTAAAATTTACCCACTCCCTCCTCTATGATTACATAAAACCATTTATTGTAACTTTGACACACGGATCACAATTTACAATAGGGTGAATGAAAATATGCATAAATCTGGTAACTTTTCTCTCTGATCAAATGTGTGAAATTGTCATAAATTTATACAAATTTAAGGTTCAATGTGAATGCAACTATGGTATATTTTCTTGGGTAAATTTTCGAGATCCTAAAAACATTAGCTTCACACAGTGTCACTTCACTATAAGCATAGTTCAGAATAGTAATGTCTTTACAATTTGTGGGTCTCTATTATATTGCAAATACACATATTATAAACGTTTAAATCCACAACTTTTCATATTTCAAATTTATTATTTCCTTTTAATAAAAAAAAAATTATTTCATTCTGATCCACAGTACTTGGTGCCAATCCAAATTTAGTTTAGATATTTAATGCACTCCTTCATGCTTCCATAATACAGTATATGCAATGCTACCTGATGCCACACTGACAAAAAGGGAAAACAGGCAATTTTCTCAACAAACATCTGAATCAAAATCCAAATCTCCTTGATAGTGGGCAAACGCCTTCCTCCCTGTAAATGTCAATTTATTTTAATTTTATAAATCTTCATAACATGCTCAGAGAATTCTGTCTGGTTTTGACTTTTTTTGACAGCTGATCACTGTTTTAGAAATAGGTAGGCCTATATAAAAATGAGGCCTAGTAGGCCTATATTATTTTAATTTTGCAAATCTTCACAAAATGCAATGAAATTTTCTAACTGCATATTTTGACCTTTTTTGACCTTTTTTGACAGTGTTTTAGAAATAGGTAGGCCTATATAAAAATGAGGCCTAGTAGGCCTATATTATTTTAATTTTGCAAATCTTCAAAAAATGCAGTGAAATTTTCTGCCTGCTTAACATGACTTTTTTTTGACAGCTGATCACCTTTTTTTTAGAAATATGTAGGCCTATATTACAAGGCCTAGTATTATTTTAATTTTACAAATCTTCATAACATGCTAAGAGAATTCTGCCTGCATATTTTGACTTTTTTTTGACAGCTGATCACTGTTTTAGAAATAGGTAGGCCTATATAAAAAATGAGCCCTAGTAGGCCTATATTATTTTAATTTTGCAAATTTCACAAAATGCAATGAAATATTCTGCCTGCTTATCATGACTTTTTTTTGACAGTTGATCACCTTTTTTTTAGAAATATGTAGGCCTATATTACAAGGCCTAGTAGTATTTTAATTTTACAAATCTTCATAACATGCTCAGAGAATTCTGCCTGCATATTTCGACCTTTTTTTGACAGCTGTTCACTGTTTTAGAAGTAGGTAGGCCTATATAAAAATGAGGCCTAGTAGGCCTATATTATTTTAATTTTGCAAATCTTCACAAAATAGTGAAATATTCTGCCTGCTTATCATGACTTTTTTTTGACAGCTGATCACCCTTTTTTTAGAAATATGTAGGCCTATATTACAAGGCCTAGTATTTTTTTAATTTTACAAATCTTCCTTAAATGCTCAGAGAATTCTGCCAGCATATTGTGACCTTTTTTTTTGACAGCTTATGACTGTTTTTAGAAATAGACAGGGCATAATGAGGCCTAGTGGGTCTATATTATTTTAACTTTACAAATCTGCAAAAAATGCAGTGACATATTCTGCCTGCACATCACAATTATTATTTATTTTTTTGACAGCTGATCACCCTGTTATAGAAATATGTAGGAATATATTACAAGGCCTAGTAGTATTATTTTACATTTACAAATCTTCATAAAAATGCGCAGAGAATTCTGCCTGCATATTGTGACTTTTTTTGACAGCTGATCACTGTTTTAAGAAATAGGTACTAAGTTAGGCCTATATCACAAATTACCTACTTATCAAATCAGAACACCTTCTACGTGTGCATATCCTATTGTTTTTCCTACAGATTTTTGGCAAAATTTCTATAGGACAATCTACTATAGTCTCCTATAGATTTTTTTTTATTGCATTTTCTGTAGGAGTTATGCCGTATTACTCGTATAGGAATTAATACTGTAGTATTCTGTAGTTTGGCAATTGGATCACTACAGTTTTCTGTAGGAATAGAATGGGTACTACAGAATTCTATAGACTTTTTTTTATTAATTCTTATTTTGGGAATAAATATAATTGGCCAATGATTTATTCTAAATTGATAAGCTTATTTTTTCTCTCACGAATTAATAATTGCCGCATGATTTGACACCGACACTTGCCGAATACAAGCCAAAGGCTACTTTCAAATACAAATTACGAATGAAAAATGAGCATTTAACAGAATTTTATTTTGTATTTCATTGGAATATTTCCAAATTAATATTTATTTTAAGAAAATTCAGCCAACACTTAGATCTACGTCTAAAATGACATCGATAAACTGGAATTCCAAATAATCCGCCAAAGCGTCGAGCCTACCGGAAGTAAACATGGCACTTTTATCTTCGCGCATGCGAGGACGAGCATAATTCGCTCTAACGGTCTCGTTGGCGTTCCAGTGTATTTAGTTCTATGATCCATGCAATGGCCGAGAAAGTTCATCGGGATTTTACGGCGTGGTTTTCGCTTGTCAGTGGTTCGACGAAGGGTAGATGGAATTGCCATTGTCAGGGCAAATTGTCTCTCTTAGCACATGTCCGTCTTCATAAGCCCGGAGGGTGCATAAAAGTAGGACGTTAAACCCCATTTCATTTAATTTCTTTCTTTCACTCGTATAAATCAGTCTTATTTACAGAAAGATGTGAGTGATGGACCCATAGTAAATCTAACCCTTATTTTAACATATTAACACGCTGTCTTGGCTAACGTTAAATAAAATGAAATGAGTTTAACATCCTACTGTTCGGCTCCGAACTGGGCAAATAAAGACGGGCATACGCCATACAGTGTACTATGAGGGAAATTTTTCCCGGACAGCGGCACTACGGCATATACTCTTATATCGAATTCCAACTGTCAAGGGATCTTTTACGTGTCAGGCCCTCCGTCCTGCATCACTGACAAATGAAGCACGCCGGAAAATCTGGATGAACTTTCTCGGCCAATGCAGGGATCGAACACCCGACCTCCAGGCTAAAGAGCCAGCGCCTTACCCACTTAGCCACCGTGACCCCCCCCCCCCACACACACACACACACACACACACACACACCCATACAGGCAGATTATGGTTTTGCGGGACCATGACATTTTACATTGTTTTGGGGACCATGGTAACCCCTACTGCAATTAAGCCATAAATAGACTCAGGTACCCCGAAGACGGTAGTGTACCTCCCCGAGCCTATGCTAGAGTCGATATCTTTAGTGGTATGCTAGATATGTGATATTGGTAAATTGGTGGCGTAAGAGGACCATTCTAAAAAAAGAAACTGTGTATCAAGAAGTAAAGTAGAGAGGGGGGATATGGGGACCAGCATAACACCCACTTGCATATTAAAAGTATTACAACAAAAAGAGGACCAAAGTAACACACTCACACCAGTAAATTAATGGGGTAGGAGGACCATTCTAAAAATAGAAACTGTGTATCAAGAAGTAAAGTTGAGAGGGGGGATATGGGGACCAACATAACACCCACTTGCATATTAAAAGTATTACAACAAAAAGAGGACCAAATGAACACACTCACACCAGTAAATATTAGTAAAATCTGAGGACCTTTATTTTCACACACGTTCAGTTTTTTCACTGGATTCAGAGACCAGTTGAGTGTTTCAAGTTTAGTAGAAACTTATTAGATCTGAGGACCTTCCATTACACATGTTCAATATTTTAAAGTGTTCAGAGACCACTTGGGTGTTTCAAGTAAATATTAGTAGATCTGAGGACCACCAAACACTCATAATAATTAAGTACATTAAATAGATAAAAAAAACACTTGTTTAATTACAGGAAAGAGAGAACAAGGCATTGGTTGTCCCCCCTTAGACCACAAAACTCAGTTTTATCAAGAAGTAAAGTTGAGAGGGGGGATGTGGGGATCAACATAACACCCACTTGCATATTAAAAGTATTACAACAAAAAGAGGACCAAAGGAACACACTCACACCAGTAAATATTAGTGAAATCTGAGGACCTTTATTTTCACACAGTTCAGTTTTTTCACTGGATTCAGAGACCAGTTGAGTGTTTCAAGTTCAGTAGAAACTTATTAGATCTGAGGACCTTCCATTACACATGTTCAATATTTTAAAGTGTTCAGAGACCACTTGGGTGTTTCAAGTAAATATTAGTAGATCTGAGGACCACCAAACACTCATAATAATTAAGTACTTTAAACAGATAAAAAAAAACACTTGTTTAATTACAGGAAAGAGAGAACAATGCATTGGTTGTCCCCCCTTAGACCACAAAACTCAGTTTTTCCAAAAATGAGTGTTTCAAGTAAATGTTTAGTAGATCTGAAGACCACCAAACACTAATAACTATTCCTTTCATTAAATAAAATGTTACTTGTTAGGCCCCCATATGCGTGTTTTTCCCTCCACAACTACAACTTTCAATTGTTTTTGCAAAAATGCACATACCACTAATAGTTAAAAGGGCAAATTACCCTCATAGCACCCGGCTTGGTGTATTGCCCCATCTTCATTACCGGGTACGGTGCAGAAAAGTAGGATGTTAAAACCCTGTTTCGTTTCATTTATAATAGGCAGGAGAGGTGGGGTGGTACCCTCCATTATATATATCTGTGCCTTTGTTTTATTAAAAATAATATAAATCCAATCTCTCACTGGCTCTCATTACGTGATCTCTTATCCGACCTACTCTCAGGAGTTTTGAGCAAAGGTAGATACCTTACTTGAATGAACATCAATTCTAATGAGGACAGGATGTAAAGACCAGCATTTGACTGTTACATACTGAGAATACCATAACAAAAGGTATCACACATGCGTCTCACAACAAGGTAAATCTCGCAGAAGGTCAGGAATGGGACAACATTCAGTTGCGTATTGAGGGGTGTGGGAGTGGGATGGGTCGGGGAGTGGGATGGCCCTGTGGTCTAGACTGTCAATCTAGCTGGTTGGTCATCTTCGGCTTGCAGTTGTGGGTTCGATCCCTGGTGTGAGTAAATAGAGATAGGGGTGCCGCCTTGGGTTCACTCTGGGTAGTCAAGTTTCCTCCCACAGCAAAGACATGTGCACATGAGTTAAATTTGATAACATAAAGGTACCACAGAACTGTCCCAAAACGACCCAGTTGGTGTTGAGTGGGCATAAAACCCCATTTCATTTCAATTCAGTTGCATATTGAAAATATTAAAACAAACAGGAGGACTAACTTCTGAATATCTAACTGTATTTTATTAAAGATTTAATCCATAATTGAAGCTATTTTACAAATACGAAAATGATTGAATTTTCCTGATCATATAGGCAGATAATGAGAAAATAGAAGTGTACAATATGGTTTATCTCCTTATGGAAACCCAACTTTCTAGTAACCCAACAAACATTTTTCAAGAATTAACAGTAACCATGAAGATGAAATCAAAGATTTGAATAACAAAGAAAACAGCACTCCTGGTGTACATTTGAAACAAACATATGAATAATTTGCATTCATATTATGCAAAACTAAATGGCAACAAATAGAAATTAATTCCTCTAATAGAAGCCTTTCTAAACTATTTTTTTTTCTCTATTAGGTTCTTAACTTGGCTTTTTACATGTACCCAGTTACGAGAGCATAAAATACCATGACTAGACTTAATCACTTCTTCGCATTTCTTTTTACCAACACCTGATAACTGTAATTTGCTTATATTATCACTGAAGAATTTTTCAAAGGTAACTCTTTTCAGCTTGGGACCATGACTTATGTGGACATTTCTTCCCACCAACACCTGTAAATATTAAATAGTTAACATAAGACTAAAATCTTTCCATCCACATCTTAATTTTAATCCATTGTGTAAAACATCATAACAAAAATACTCAATAAGAATGACAATGCTCTGAAAGAACTAAAACAAGAAACCCCAAGGAAACCATGGGCGTAAAATTGGTGTGTAACATCTAATCCTCTATTTTGAAGTAGCGATGGACTTATGTCAAAACAATTCCTTGTACTGATTAAGATGGGTTACATGTAAGCCATGTTAATTCTGTACACAGTAAGAGCAATACAATATTGATGCCATAACACAATTTACACATTGTGTCATTTTACATTGCGTCGCAAGCACATTATCCACTGAGCCACCACTGACCTCCAAGGGAACAATGGAAGCAGTTAAAGATACGAAAGAACTTCAGCAAATTACCTGGGTTTCTTTTTTCTTTCAAACTGGTATCCACTGTTAAACAACTTGGCACCTGATAGGTATGGTTAACTGAAATAATAAATACAATTGTCATAAATATACGATATTTCATTATTTCTCAATCTGAGTCAGATTAAAAATTTACATGACAAGAGGCCTGTTCTTTGCAAAAATTCTTCATATCTATTACCCAACTTATATGTTGATTTATATTTCTATACTCTTGAATACCGTCGTTACTCAAACAATTACTGCATAGTAATTTCAACGCTACGTAAACAAAATCTTGAACATAAACATGCTGGGGGTGGGGGTGTGAAATGAAATGAAATGTGGGTTTATGTCCAATCAACACCAACGGGGTCATTTTGGAACAATTCTATGATACCTTTATTTTATTCAAATCAGCACATGTGCAGGGCCTTTGTGGGAGGAATTCGGAGTACCCGGAGTAAACCCATTGGGTCGAGAAGGTGCCCCAATCTCCAAACCACATACACTCGCACCAGTGATCAAACCCACAACCACATGCCAGAGGTGACTATCAAGCTAGAGGTTGAAGCGCAACAATCTACACCACCAGGTCATCCTAGCCCCCCGGTTTGGGTAGGAGCATAATTTGCAAGGTGAAAGGCTTGTTGTGGGAGGAGCCACAGGCGTGACACTGGGTTGGTCTTGTAATACCTTGTGTTCATCGGGTAAAAGCTGAACTGTTGCTTTCAATAAAAGAGGTACAAAATAAATATTTAAGATGGGTTCCTGCGTACAAACTGGGAGATTTAATGGTATATATAATTTTATGATAATCAAATAATAATTGACACTTTTATAGACCAAAACCTATATCTCTGCAACCGAACAAATTAGAAACCATTTTGTGATATCTGTATGGTCATATGGGTTTTTGCCCAAATGTCGTCATTTTCAGTGACAGTTAAATTGGACTGACCTAGTCAAAGGTGGCATGAGGCATCACATGGTAACAAAAATTGAAAATCGAACGATAATTGACTCTTTTACATGCAAAATAACGTGAAAAGTGACGCATGCAAAATTGCCTATTTCTTTGCAACTGCGCATATTACAATCTAATTTTGACATACATTGTCCTCGTATGGATTAATGCTACAAAATTATGAAAGTTGCGTAGAAATAATCTAAAATATGAAGACGATGAATGGGTTGTAAACAGCTGATTTTTACTACTTTTTTCAACCTTAAATCCAAATGGCGCAAATACAAAACTGATATAAAAAAAACCCAAAAAAACTAAGCCCGACATATTTTGCGCCTGTAGTAGGAGGATTCATCTTCATTGATAAGATTTGTAGAAATCAAGATTTTTCCTTAGGAAAAGACCTCCTGACCCGCCAAAATTTAAATTTTAGGCAAAATTACGTCACTTCCGGTGCCGACAGAATACTTTATAGGTAGAAACAAGTTGAGAATTTGCACCAAGGAGTATATGAGCTTTTGTTTTATACAAATCAGGCAATAAATAATTAATTTAGAACCCATAAACTGTAATAAAAATGCGAGAAGTCTTAAAAAGTGATCCTGACGAAATTGGTTATTTCTTTGCAAAAGAAGATGTTAGAAGCTATTTTTTTGACATATTTATGATCGTATTGATCCAATCTATATTTCCACTGAAATGAAATATCATAATGATAAACGAATACTAAATATAACTCACTTCAAAAAAATATTTGTTTTGAAGGTTAAAATACAGTTTTTGCTAAAATGACATTACTTCCGGTGTGAATGAAAATGTTAAATTAGTTTTAGGAAATCAGAAATGGCATAAGGCATCACATGGTGAAAATTTTATGAAAATCGAATAATATTTGACACTGTTATAGACCAAAAACCTTGAAACGTGACTAGTAGAAAATCGTCTATTTCTCTGAAACCTTACAAGTTAGAACCCATTTTGTGGTATCTATATGGTCGTATGGGTTCATTCTATTTGTTGATTGAAATTAAATATCATACTTTTAAACAAATAACATACATGTATATGACTCATTTGAAAAAAATATCGGTTTTGAAGGCTAAAATTCAGTTTTTGCCCAAATGACCTCACTTCCGGTGACAGTAAATGTGTTAAAATGATTTAATCTAGTCAAATGTGGCATTCGGCATCAAATGGTGAAAGAAAATTGAAAATTGAATAATAATTGATTCTTGAACAGGCAAAATAGCACGAAATGTGACTTATGCAAAATTGCCTATTTCTCGAAAACTGCTGATATTACAAACTAATTTTGACATACATTCTCTTTGTATGGGTTATTGCTACGAGGTTATGAAAGTTACGATGAAATATGAAGACGGTGGATGGGTTGTAAATAGCTTAATTTTACACCTTTTTTCACCTTTTAATCGAAATAGCCGGAAAACGAAATTGAAATTAAAAAAACTGAGTCCGATGATTTGTGCGCCTTTGCATGGCGTATACTTTTGGTAATATCAAATTTTAAAAAAATAAGATTTGCTTTCAAAAAGTTGTACCGAACTGTCAAAATCTGTCCAAATTGTAGTTTTTGCTGATTTTACTTCACTTCCGGTGCCGACACGAATCTTTACCGGTAACCAAAAAAATGACATTTTGGACCACGCAGCATATGAACTTTCTTTTGTACAAATCGAATAATAAAGAATTAATCTAGGACTGAAAAACTGAATTAGCCAATTGCGGCCAAGGAAAATTACGGACACAAAAAATTTTTAAATTTTTAGTCAAATCGGATAACTCTTCAACCCTGGTTAAAATACCATATAAAAATATTCATAAATAAAAAAGTTTTTTGTAAAATTTTAAATTTTCGAAATTTGGCGCTTAATATCTACGAAGATTCGTCGACAATCAAAAATCAAAAGTAGCACAGCTATGTGCCTGGTCTCCGGCTATGTCAAAATGCATCATATGTTAAAATTCGATGATTATTGTTAATACTACGGCATTCTTTTACAAAACGACAACTTCGGTGATTTCGGACATTTCGCATTGTCACAGAATGCCCAAAATAGCTTTAATCTCTAAGTCACACCCACTTTTCCCAATAAAACCGAAGAAATCGTATCGATCCGACATGTAGTTTCTGAGATACAATCAAATTGGAAAAAAAAAAAAATAATAATAAGAAGAATAATTTTAACAAAAACAATAGTGTTTCACACAAGCTACGCAGTGTGAAACCCTAATTAATGCTTAAGTTGACTTACATTGCATCATCAGAATTACAATTAACATCCACAAAGTTGTCCCCAAATCCCTGTTTAAGTTGGACTGGCCATACCCCTCGACATCCAGGCCCACATATACTGGTAATTCTCTGAAGTATTAAATGTAAAAATATTTATGTTTAAATCTACATGTATTGCAGTATGAACAAAGATTATGACTTAATAATTTACATAAAATGAATAACTAAAAACATAAATTGGTTTTATCCATACAGAATATACATGTATGATAATGAAGCTTAACCATAATTGATATTGTAGGCCACTGGTATTTAACCGTAAGCACAGTAGCATTTTGATGTTAATGATACAGAATCGCAGATCACCAAACTGCAGATAATACATGATTTGCGGGGAAAAGCAAGAGAAAGTGGAAAATGGGACTTAACATCCCATGCTTGTGCCTATATAGGGGTCTTTAGTAGGGGTCTTTAGCTGTGGGAGGAAACCGGAGGACCCGGAGAAAATCCACGCAGTTGGACAGGCTACCCTAGTCCTTGTCTTTTACAAGCTTAGACTCGAAACCATGCTACTTGACTCAATGAGAGATCTTATGATCTAAAGCGCTCGCTTTAAACTACTGGACCCCAAACGGGAAAAGCCATGCTAATGTCTTTAGAAAGTAATTCTCTTTTTTTTTTGCCGTTAGTTAATATCAAAACTTCAATAAACATTGCTTTTGTATTCTATAATATCCTTCTGAATGACAGACAAAATGACCATCGATTAGAGTATATAATTTACAAAACACGTACTATCAGAATGATCTTGACCGTTATTAGCAACCACATCATTACTCATCATTGCGGAACTAGTCACTCTTGTGAAAATACTAAACCCAATATGTTCTTTAAATGGCATTTAGTAACTGGATAGAGTAACAACAAAACACATACTTATGGAATACAGCTACTAGTGTATTTAAGGCGACGTTTCGTAGAGTATTCTCTCAACGTTATCAAGCTAATAACGTTGAGAGAATACTCTACGAAACGTCGCCTTAAATACACTAGTAGCTGTTTTCCATAAGTATGTGTTTTGTTGTTAAACCCAATATGTCATTGTCATGTTTTACAAATTACATGTAGTCTCTTACCTTTAATATTCATCATTAAAGTAGCTAAATCTCTAACTCAATACCATCCAAAATCTTCGACATTAAAAACATGATTTATTTGTCGGTTTAAATCAACATAATTGATGTTGTTATCTTACCGGGAAAAGATGGCCTTCTGATATCCAATATTTAAGACAAAATAAACATTTTACAATTGGTACATGAATCGTGTACCATAATACTTTTTAGCGCTATTTGTAATAAGGGACTCGCAAAACGCGGCTAGGCATATTCCACAAGTCATGTCAAACGGTGACGCTACATGTATATTCTTATCTGGAGAGCATGCCCAATAAATACTATCGGCGTAGGTTGGAATAACCAGTCGCTAGAGATTGAAATTCGATCGAGAATACTGGCATATTTCACCGAACCTAATTGATTAGAAATTACAGTAAAAACAAAAACGATTGAATGTAAATCAATTTATATACATTCATATTTCATTATTGTATGCATTGCAACCCATTTGTGTCAATTTCTAGGTCCCAAATATTAGCGACTTAGCTCCTTTAAGCAGAAACATAACAATGCCAGTGGTATGCTAACAAAACTGTTCATACTGTAAACAAAATACATAGTTTAAAGGGGCAAAATCGCTAATATTTGGGATCTAAAAATTGACACAAATGGGTCGCATTGTATATAATAATGTACGGTAATATGAATGTATGTAAACTGATTTACATTCAATTGTTTCCGTTTTTACTCTAATTTCAAAGCAGTTATGTTCGGCGAAATACGACAGAAGTCTCAATCCAATGGCCATCTCTAACGTCTGGTTATTCCAGTCTACATCGATAGTATTTATTGCGCATGTTCTCCAGATAAGAATATGGGGTCACCGTTTGAGTTGACTTGTGGAATATGTCTAGCCTCGTTCTTCGAGTCGCTTGTTATTACAATTTGCGCTGAAACACATTATGGTACACGATTCGTGTACCAATCGTAAAATGTTTATTTTGTCATAAATATTGGATATCAGAAGCCCACCTTTTTCTGTTAAGATCACAACACCATTCGTGTTTTCATTGTCGAAGGTTTTGGATGATATTGAGTTAGAGATTTAACTACTTTAAATATAGCGATAATTGCATTTTTTTTAAGTCATATGTTTAAAATATGTTTAAATAAAGACTTAAAATACATGGCTTCTATATACACAGTCCTACCTTGTTAAAGAATAATCCTAAAAATGGCATCATTATCCCTGTATCTGTTTAACCGCCGACTTTGACAATCGAGACAATTTCCCTTTCCGTTGTGTAGACATAGTTTTCCAGTGAAAAGAAATTATACAATTTCGCATTCGGCAAACCTCGACAGACTCGCCGATAATCTACATCTAGCGCAAAAAAAACCGTAGTGTTCCGCGTGACAATTTCCAAATACCGTCCGCGAATAGAAATTATTTCAAATTTTATGTGAATGTTTTTTTAAGTGCTAGAATGATTCCTATGATTGTGTACGTAGTAGATATAGAAATAATTATGTTTTGACTTTCTTAGAAAATATGCAATTATCGCTTTACTTTGGGAAATACAATAACAATGTAGAAATGGTTTCACTACTGATGTACGTCTTCCGCCTTACCGATACATACATAATTGTAGCTAAATGACAATGGTGCACTTTTAATTCTATCTATGTCATGAAATAGAAATATTCTATTTCTGAAATAACGATTTTATTTCAGAAATAGGGAAAACATGGGTCAATTTCGATTGCCCATTGGCGCAAGACAAACCTCCGAGACATTTTTAATTTATTTCAACATCACAAGATTTCGTTCTACTGAACACCAGAATATTAGAATATGTTCACCATTCATACAAATACATATATATAGGCCTAGACTCAATCAGTCAAAGACTGAATCAATGATACTAGGCCCAAATGATCAGATGATAACTTAAATTAAATGACAAGTCTACTACGTTGCATATGTCGAAAAAGTCGATCCCAATTTTTGTACACGACACCAAGCATAACAGTTAATGACCAGAACAACAAAAGTGGAAAATGGTCAGCAAAAAAATAACATGAATATTTCTAACTCGACTAAACATGGTGCCTTACCGTGATTGTTGTTGTTTGTAAGTTGTATTTTACGTCCACTTCCACCGAGGTGATTTAAGCTATTATTAATATGGCGGAGATACGCTTACAGTATGCGCATGCGTGATAAATGATGTAACTGAGCTGTGTGAATATGAACTGACATGGGAGGTGATCAGGCTGGAAAACACACCCTTTCACCCAAGGGGTCGGTATTTTACGGTTAACCGAGCACTACCGAGATATTCTAAAAATAAACTCGCCAGGGGGTGGAAAGTAGATTACACAGGTTTCTAAATTCGAGGACCGATTATGGTCCTCGAAAACCCGATGGTCCAGCAATTGTTGGTGTGCAAGCATACAATTGTCCCCCAATTCAATGATCTGCCCACTCACACACACACACACACACACTCGGACAGAAAAGGCATTAGGGAACAGATATAGCCTTTATGACCCCTCTCCTACTATTGTTTGGATCAAAATATTTCCTTTTTTTAAAAAAAAAGTACAAGTGCTTTTGTTATCAAATGGGCTGCATTGATATACAGTCGTCAGTGGGTTGTTTAGATATTATGGCAGGAAGTTGGTTAAAAAAGGAAAAGAAAACCGAAACGAAATTGAAATTTAATCTTAGTGCAGGATGATGGTTATATTGCTAACAGCTAACAACAATTGCTAGGGTACTTTCATATTTAAACGTGTTGTCTGACCCATATTGTAGAGATGATTTCATGGAGTTAGTTTTTTTTTGTCGTGTAACATCAGATATTGAAATCGAAACATCAAACCATTTAGAGAGGTTAGATGAACGAATGGTTAGCGCGTGCGATCTGTGACATAAGGTCTATCATTGATTCAACTGGCGGGGTTTCGATTCCCCGGTTGTACGTGACAATGAGTTGGGTCACCTGTCCAACCTCGTGGGTGTTCTCCGGGTCCTCCAGTTTCCTCCAACTGCCAAAGACCCTAATGCTGGGTTTCGTGCACAAATATAACTGCCAATTGTCCTGTACAGAACGACTGTCCACAAAAGAAAATATTTCTTTTTTTCATAAGAGCTGCTCGCTACCAAGTGACGCATGAGACGGGGCACCCTCAGGCCCCTACCTTAATTAAGCTACAATCTAAGGTCTAGGTTCATCAGAAGAGTTTAAATGTTGAATTAACTTCAGCCAAAATAAATCAATACTTTCCTCACTCCATCCCCATTTTATATAGTCATCATCCTTTAAGATTCTATGAACGGTCTTAGTAACATTAACAACTCCTAGTTCCTCTAACAAAATCACAATCATTAAATCTCGCCTTTCACTTAAGATTCGTTCATAAGCTACGCTTGCTTCGAACTCACAGTAATGATCAACAGCGAAAGTATCCGATACACACAAGATGAATCTCCTGCTAGCATCCATATTCTCGATTATACTGTCAATTTTATTTCCAACCCCATCTCTCTGTGGGAGAAAGACGTGGAGATTCAACTCGTGTTCTAGTCTTGGTAAAATATTTTCCAAAATAAAATCTACATCGTCTTCACTACAGCTTAAATAGATATCGTACCGATAGCTCCGTCCTTCAGTGGCGAATCTTTGGAGCCTGATGTGGTGGTATCGGAGTATGTAGACGAAGTATCGAAGGTGCCAACGATATCTGTAAACCAGAGATATCGCGAGTATTAAAAGAAGTACTCCTATCGATACTGATGTTATTATCAAACTTATAACGGGGGTTAACAAACAAAAGCGATTACTTATAGGTGTATCAATAATCCTCATGCCCCGCCAGTCACTAGGAGTTGAACATGTATATTTATTCGGGAACTTATGAAGCTTTTCAGCAAAGCTCTTGATCTTCAGTAATCGCGCAAACCAGAGTAAATTCGCACAGGAACAAGAATAAGGATTGTATGATAAGTCAAGCCGTGATAAACCTTGTAGTGTTTCATAAGAAAACGAATGTTTGTTAATTGTCGCAATTTGATTAGACGTCAAGTTTAATATTCGCAGCGACGTTAAGTTTCTAAAATAATCGTTTGTCCACCATGAAATATGATTGTAACTTACATCAAGAGACTCCAGCTTCGGCATTATTCTTGGAATAACAGGAGGTAATGATCCAATACCGGTACCAGAAAGTTTCAGAACTTTTAATTTGGTCAATGTTGCAAAGAGTTCGTCGAAGTATTCGTCTGATTTTGAGTAAAGGTGGCTATTGGATAGGTCCAATTTTTCTAGGTTTGCGCAACTATTTAATGCCCCTACATACAAGTGATGCACGTGTTCGGCATTGCCCTTTAAATAAAGATTAATGAGGCTGGAACTATTAAAGGCGTGATCCCTGATCCGAAATGATGATCCTGAATTGTCGCTGATGAAAATGGTGTGCAAATTGGGGAGTCTGGAAAATGTATTTTCCCCCAATTCGTGTAATGGGTTACCAGAAATAGAAAAGATGTGAAGAAACTTCATACAATCTAGACCCAGTCGTGGCATAAATCGAATAAAATTGTCATCCATGTACAGACGTGTCAAATTAGGAAACATCGCGTTATTATCGGCACAGAACTTGGGAAAACTGACCAAAGCATTGTCTGATAAAACCAACTCCGTTAAGGTCGAGATCGGTTTCGGTTTCGGAATCGGTGAAAAATCCATCTCTTGTATCCAACACGTACGTAAACTGAGGACAGAGAGATTTTTCAGGTGAGTGAAGTCAGTGTGGTTGTAATAATCGATATAAGTCGAGTTCATTACAATTTTAGATACTGGACTGTTCTTCATCGCAGAGAGGAAGTATGTTTTGCTCAATCTATCCTTAAACGTTAATTTAATCAACTGAAGCTCTTTAAGCTTCGGACTTACCACGCCCATCAAACAATAATATAACAGTCCATATTTTATTTTTTTCTCTTTATAAATTCCTAGTATTTGAAGCTGTTTTAAGCTACGGAATGCAAACCGCGAACAGTAGCTCAAATTATTTGCTTTTAAGTAAAGATGCGTCAAAGACGAAACATTAGAAAAGGTGTCGTTTTTTATATGTGGTAAAAAGTTATTCGAAAATGTTAGCTGAGAGATATTAGCGGGTAGTTTGGGAATGTAGGATAATAAGTGTCGATGCCCAGAACACACGGCAACATTCCCCGTACAATTACACATGTTATCTCCACAAGAGTAACTATCGATCAACACGTCGGGTATTTCGCGTAAGGTTCCATCTTGGTTCGCCTTTGATGAAAGAACAATAGAGGAATTAGCTGAAGTTCCATTAGGGTTTAGATGAATTCCCCGGCTATAGGCCGCATCAAGGAGAAAAATAATCCCAAGTACGCTTTTATAGATATCCATTGCGTCTTGTCTACACCTGTTTAACGGTAATAGTAGACTACAATCTAGAAAGGTCTTTTAAAAATGCATCATATAGACTGCATTGTTAATAAAAGTTACAACGGATGTATATATTTGTCACATCTGTCTATTATAAACGATGACCATTCCAAAAACATGATGTTCCAGACTTTCCCCGCGTTCATTAGTAACGACCAAACATTCCTGCTGTATTCAAGGAAAACATAAAAAGTTCGTGTTGTGGCACATATTCTGTGAAAATAGATTCTCGGTCAAAAAGTTCTTGTTGTGGCACAGATTCTGTGAATGAAGATTATCTAAAAAAAAATCTTGTTGTGGCATAACGTCTGTGAATATAGATTATCGATAAAAAGTTTTTTTTGTGACACCAATTCTTTAAACGTAGACACAGTCTGGTCACCAACTCTCTATAGCTGCGAGTTCATGACATTGTGGTGTATCCAACACAGGTGAGAGCCTTTGTTTATTCCTCGCGTACAAACATTGAACTATAATAATATAAAAACAATAGTTTACATACTAAAACATCTATAATAAATTACATCTATTTAAACAGAGAGAGAGGGAGAGAGAGAGAGGGGTTAACGTCCACTCGACACAAACTAGGTCATTTCGGGACTAACACATGGTTCAATCCTATTTCAATAATTTGCTTGCGCGTAGGGGTCTTTAGCAGTGGGGGGAAACCGAAGGACCTAGAGAAAACCTACGAGATTGGACTGGCGACCCTACTCTTTGTCACGTTCTACTGGGAAATCGAAACCTCGCCAGTTGACTCAAAGACAGACCTTATGATACAGCGCGCACATGCTAACCATTTAAAGGGCGTCTCGCTCTATTTTTTGAAAGTTTGAAATAGACAAAAATGGTTCTAAAAGCATATATTCCTGTAATATGAATGTATGTAAAGTGGTTTATATTCACTTTTTAACAAAAAATATTTTAATTTCTAATCAATTATGTTCGGTGACATACGTGAACAGTTCAAATTTACACGTGCTAGGTGCATTCTTCACGTTTTTTATTTAAATTATGTTGTCCTTTGTGAATCAGCCTTTACTAATTGTTTCCACATTGTATTGTCGGATATGTTTGTATTTGTTCATTAGAAAATGGCACCATAAACCATAGGGTACACGACTCGTGTACTGATTATATAATGTTAATTGTGCCTTAAATATTGGATATTAGGATCCTATAATTTCACGGTCAGATCACAGCATCTATATTGATTGAAATTGAGCAATATTGAATTCCAATTCGTGTTTCTAATTTCGAATATGATGAAAAATATTGAGTTGGAGACTTAGATCCTTTAAAGGGGTAGTATCAATTATATCAAGACATTAAATGTAATTAGCAAAATCTGAGATTCACCTGATTATTAAAAATCCAGCCTATATAACCAAGGCGAGGGGTAGGCCTATGAATAAACGTACGACTCGTAAAATAAATGGGCTTACCTCTAAATATCAGTGAGTCGTACATATCGGTCGGTGCTTTTCGAGGAGTTAAATTAAACTACTTCAGTCCTCTCTTAGTATATCAGTTTGTTCTGATTCACTGCTACTTGACGTGTCTAATGTTGTTGTATTTATGACTTTGTTTAAAATTAAATCTATATATCTGGATAAAGTGGTAGATTATTTATTTAAATAGCTAGGACCTGTTTAAACAAATAAGGAAATTGTAACAATTCGAGTACTGTTCTTGTTTTATCCTCCAACCCGACTTTCAGTTAAATTATTGTTTCATTCATGTGACAGTTACAAGGAAATTATATTCCCCGTGAATTCAAATCGGGTTATTGGGTCAGTCAAACTCGTGGGGGTTTAGTCAGAGTGTGTGTAGTGTTGAAAGATGTTAGTTTATCCAATGTTATCATTTATTACATAATGTCTGGTTGTAAGGATTAGATAACGAGCCAGTGACCCATTTAATATAAAGAATACAGTATTTAAATAATTACTATGGAAACAATATGATTACTATGGGAACAATATTAATAATACAGTATTCAAATGATTATTATATGAACAATATATAAAATTTAATATTTAAATATTACTATATGAATAATATAAAGAATACAATATTCAAATGATTACTATATGATATAAAGAATATAAATAATACAATATTCAATGATTACTATGGTAACAACTTAAATAAACACCATATCAAACTGATCAGTAGTATATATCGGTTTGGCCTCTACTAACACTTAAAGTGAAGTTAATTAGCACTCCATATTAACTTTTTTTTTTCTTTTGCAAAATAAATTCCTAAATTATTAATAAAACAAATAAAAGTACTAGAAGTAAATCTAGAAAAAAAAACCCTTTTACTATTTAGTCTAAATGGGCACATAAAATAGTACTCGAAGGCGTAAAATAAGTAAAGGGCACCGATTCGGCCCTGGCCGATTTGTGTTACTACACCCGATGTAAAGAATGCACATGTTATCGTGCCGTGGAGACCTGGGCTTTGCATTACCACTGGGGGGTTGGATGACCGAATGGTTAGCACGTGCGTGCTGTATCATAAGGTCTGTCATTGAGTCAACTGCGTGGTTTCGATTCCACGGTTGTACGTGACAAGGAGTAGGGTTGCTTGTCGGTTTTCTCAAGGACCTCCGGTTTCCCCCCACTGTTAAAAAGACCCCTAATTATTGAATTAAAATATGTTAGTCCTGAATGATCTAGTATGTGTCGTGGGGACGTTAAACTCTAACCTTTAGTGGTGTAAACCGATAACACCCAACTAGTGTAGAACATTACACCAATTATGGTGGAAACTAGCTGCCACTTCCAGTAGTGTAAGCTGTCTCGGGATGAGTGTTGCACTCAGACATTCTGATGAGGCACTTAAATAATTTACACCCGTGGGTGTAGATTATGGCAGTACATTAGACTCAAAATTCTAACATGCTATCGTCTAATTTCTAACTTCTATTCATGTAATTTCTAAATTCTATTCATTTAATTTCTAACTTCTATTCATGTAATTTCTAAATTAAGACAATGTTTAATCCAACTTCTTTTTTTGTTCAGTGTAAATTTTAATCCTGTTTCATCTTATTTCTATTATTAAGACGAAAAATGTCTACTTTGTTGTCACTTTACATGTTAAGCATGAAAGTCAAACAAATTTAGAATTTTGATACTTCTACTTAGCAACCATCATTATGACGTCGTTTGGTGTCGCCACCGTGTAATCGGAACCATTATGTTGATACCAACGACTAGCTCTTCGTCAGGTTGAATGGTTTGGCGGAGTGTTGAAATTGAAAACAACATCGAACGTGACACAGTTTGCAAAATGAAATACTATTTCAAATATAAGCTAAAACGCAAATGTTGTTCAGCTTGTATTTGAAATAGTATTTGCCAACCATATCACGTTCGATGTTGTTTTCAATTTCAGCATCGATTCCCCGGTTCGGCGGTTGTACGTGACAAGGAGTAGTGTACGGCCTGTCCAACCTCGTTGGTTTTCTCCGGGTCCTCCTGTTTCCTTCCACTGCTAGACCCCTCCTCGCAAATGAATTATTGAAATAAAATTTAACCATGTATATGTTAGTAACGAAATGGCCTAGTTTGTGTCGAGTGCGACGGTTGAGAACGTTCCACGGAATTGTCAAGCGTGGTTTCCCCTTGTCAGTGGATATAGGACGGATGGCCTGCAAGGGCAGTGTCTTGTAGTTCGGATGGGCCAAAAAACCGAGACCCTGTGTACACGTTTGCGTGCACGTTAAAGAACCCTTGGGCCTTGTCAATAGGAATTCGAAATAATAGTAGGTCGTAGCACCCTGTATGGCGTAGGCCCGTCTTCATTACCACATTCAGTGCAGAAAAGTAGGACACAACAGCGAAGGACACAATTCTATACAATGAATTTTCTATTTATTACTGAGTGACGATTCGGCATGTACTTTCTAGTCTTTATCGTTTGGTTGATAAAGACATTTGTCAAAGCATTTATTATATCCAATACAATTGTATTCCGTGCACGTATTATCTTCAATCATTCACCTTACTTCACACACACACTGTACCTGAACGATACATGCATACAAAAAAAAAAAAATAGGACCCACTTAAATTTTTTTTAAAAAAAGAGTTATACTTGAAAGTTTTATAAATTGACAGACATTAGAAGAAAAAAAAGGATTAATGCACTCTTTGAAATTGTCACGTTACGAAAAAGGATATCTATTAAGGGCAAATGCGTTGATGTTGACCTGGCTGTCTCCTTATAACCGAGGCCAATTAATCCACATCTGATATATCGTACAGTCCTACCAAAGCCTAAAATTTAGACATCTTATCGGTTGGGTGGGTTAGACTATCAATTATATTATTCATGTCATTATGCATGAGAAATTGCTGGTTTAACGTCCTACTTAAATTGTCTGTACTAGCCGCCATAATGAATACGTCAGGCTAGTAATTATTTCCCCTTATTTCACGAATGCAGTGCGAGTTATAAATAGACAATTTTTTCCTTAATTTTTTTTCTCACCTCTTCCTGCATTTTTTGGTTGACTTTTTGGTCTAGAATTGGAGAAAAGGGATCAAATTTGCCATTTTAATGATGATATTACAGCGGAGGGATAGGGGGTGTAAAGTGTCTTTCTGCAGAGCAATCGTAGTGTCGGAAGTGAGATTTTCACCCCAGTCAACTCCAAATCCCCGTCGCAAAAAACCTAAACGGTCAACCCCCTACAAAATTATGATGAGGAGATCGCCAAATGTGGTCCCCATTGTGCCTATAAAGATTGGAACCAACGGAATGTTGAGCAAAAAGCTACAGCCTGTGATGTTACAGCCATTTAACATTAAAGTCAATGAGCAAATAATTGCTAGTCTGAGTCCATGTACTCTATGCATTGAAATTGCAATTGGTAAGGAACATAACTCGTGTATAAATCTGTATAGGGGTCAGACCACAGTTATTTAATCTGCGGGATTGCTTATTTAGAAAACTATCATCAGGAATGGAGGAATTTTAAAATTTCTAATAATAGTGGACACACATTCTGTTTGTATCCGTTTATTGAATGAAACTGTATTCACAAATTTGATTTTATAACAGACAGCTTAATCCTAGTGCGGATGGTTAGGGTGGGGTGGTGGTCGCCGAATGGTTAGCGGAAGCGCGCTGTATCATAAGGGCTGTCATTGAGTCAACTGGCGTGGTTTCGATTCCTTGGTTGTACGTCCAACCTCGTGGGTTTTCTCCCGGTCCTCCGGTTTCCTCCCACCGCGAAAGACCCCTACGCACAAGCGAATTATTGAACCATATGTTAGTCCCAAAATGACCTAGTTTGTGTTGAGTGGACGTTAAACTCTCTGTCTCTTTCTCTCTTTGATTGGATGGATCTGAAATGGATGCCCGGGGTCATCGGCCCCTGCGCCCCTCTCTGCACCAGTGCACGCCACTTCTTTAGAGGGATTTTTGCTGCCTCCCAAAGATGTTTCTCTAAAACTGGCTGAAACAACTGATTCAAGGCGATTAACCCAGCAATAATAAACTAAAAACTATCATATTTGATTTAAATTTGGTTAGCTTAGCAAATTTTGCTTGAGGCTCGTGACACAGATTTGCAGACAACAAAAAACGATAAAAGAATACAAATAGGGTAAAACTATTTAATACGCCATTACTTATGGGGTGATATTTATTTATTTATGATTTCTGAGATTAGGGAGATCAAATGCGTACCGTTTGGGTTTGTCATGGGTCCAATCCTAGTGTTGTGAGTTTGAACACCTTATACTTCGCCTAGCACTATGGTAGGGTGCCCCACCATAAATAAATATCTCCAAATATCTCGACAATTACACCACAATATTTAGATACATACCAAGCCTTAAATCAGTTTCGCTCATTTATAGTCATTAAATAAACGGTCATGCTTTACTTAATAAGCTATGACCATTTAACCATCCGTAAATAATAGACTGAAAAATGGTTACTAGTGTCGGCCATATCATCCGAGCAATTTGTCATTAGTCTCGCTTAACAAATCTATCGTCCATTCAAAGTCTTGACAGGCCGGGATAATCAAGACTACTTTTTACGAACCATAACAGAAAGCTGGAACAAGAAATTGAATTTAGAAACACGCACGTTGGGCAACTCAAAAATTGGTTTAAGAACCTTGTAAAAGTAAAATGAATCTACTTCTAGTATCATGTTCCCGTCTAACCCGAGTCTTTCAGAGATATTATTTGTACTAAACCAAAAGATGCCGCTAATAACGGTACAGTTAATGATAAAGCAATTAAAAAATTAAAACGAACGTAATTTCTAAAGCTGCTGTAATAACCAAAAAGATAAATATTATTGCTATTCAGAATCGCCAACAATATATTTATTTACATGTGCAGAGAATTTGACGTACTTAGCTATTTTTATACTCGTAGACTCTGTTATCGCACTGCGTAACAAGCCACTGAAGCGTGCAAATTCGCCGTGTCGAGTTCAACATTCTGTAGCAAAAATTTTCATTGCATTCGGTTGGGTCCTACGCACAAGCGAATTATTGAAATAAATTTGACTTTGTGTCGAGTGGAATGGGTCTAATTCTAGTGTTGTGAATTTGAACCTATATACTCCGCCTAGCACTAATTTGTGGTATTCGGTTGACTCTCTCTCTCTCTATCTCTCTCACCCCCTCTCCATCTCTCACACACACACACACACCCACACACCCACGGTGTACACAACGTTCAAAGAAGTTCAATACGCTTTCACACATGTATACAAGGCGTAGGAATACTATTAAACCTTTTGATCACACGATCTACAACACGGCTGCTATATTGTCTCGTTTTGTCATTGAAAATCCTGGATGGTGAAGAATTTTTTAACCGATAGTGATGAAGTAACGCAGTAGTATAATTCACATGTATTAGCTTATGAGCTCGCTTTTGTTTAGCCACGGTATGTATAGCCATGACGTCTATCAGTTCCGGCTTGCCAATCACTTTACAACGACTATTGTACTCAAATATATAGTTCTCTCGCCACACTTTTAACAATGTTCTCAATTTATAACGAGTCGCTAAATCTTTCTGACGATATCCTCTAGTGTCATCCGGCATATGTGTGTCAAAAAAAGTAGTCCTGAATGAAAAAGACGACGCTTTCGGTTCAGCTGACGTCAAGTTGTCCATCATTTCCATCCAATCGTTAAAGGTGTATGGAATTAAAATCTCGTCAATATCCACAACAACCACATAACGCGAGATACCACGAGATCTATAAACACAATCGTTCACTGCAGCAATTTGCCCAAAATAATGAACATCCTTCGTACCGATCGGTAATTTGTAGTTCAAAAGAGTTACCTCCCCTCTTTTGATATAATCGTTTAAGACGATTTTCATTGGTTGAGACGAAGAAAAATGGTGGATTACGAAATGATTAGCTCCTAGAACTTTATCAAATTCAAGAGCCTCCACAAATCCCATAACATTCCCAAAGCTTGAATGCATCACAGAGAGACAGAGCGTGAAATTTCTCTGAACAGTTTTTTCTGGATAATGTAGAATCATACGATTGAGTGGTTTGTCTTTGATTGACGGTGTAACTGACACAGCATACCAAACCCCTTTATCATTTAGATCACACGTGACCATCATGGCACCATACCTGTATGTGAATGAAAAATACAATAACTTTAGTTTAGCTTACAAAACGAAATCTAATTTCAAACACACATAACATAACACATAACATATTACATTTGACATAGTGCACATTACTGCCATGCGATCAATGGCGCTTCACAAAGTCTTACACAAACGTTAAAGAAATGCTTTACGAAAAAAATATGTTTTGAGTTTCTTTTTAAAATCCGTTACAGTTTGGCATTGTTTCACATTTTCTGGAAGGGTATTCAGGAGCCGCGTATAAATAACATGTTTTTTGATGACGATCTCGTATTGTATGATGAAGTTTGGGACTGCAATAATTCAGAAAGGTAGGCAGGGTCAAGGTTGTGGAGACACTTATACACCAGTACCAGTAGCTTGAATTGGCATCGGACTTCAACTGGCAATATATGAAGTTCTTTCAGAGCAGCAGTCGAGCTATGGCCGTAATTAACACCAAGAATTAGCTTTGCAGTAAAATTTTGAATTCCTTGGATAGGTTGAAGAGTTGTTGCTGGCAAACCACAGAGCAGACTATTTCCGTAATCCATATGTTTCGTTTTTCATAGTTCAAAATTTCTTTTCATCGAAAGTATACAAAAACTGTTAGTGCTAAATGATAAGGCCGTCTTAATGTTTCGTCATAGGTCACGATATATAAACAGGGCTAGCGCTAATCCCAACCTTCGCCCTGGACCTAACTCCTAATGCTTACCCATCCCTAACCTACAATCTCGCCAACAATCACGTGCCCTAACCTTATTTACACCTCAACGAACTTGACAAAATTTGAGCTGGCCTTAACAAATAGATTTAGCCATACACAAACGAAAACAAATCTTGATATTATTTTTACAGTTACAGGCTTTTAAATGGTTTTCACAGAGTCAGAAACTAAATATCTCGATTTAGGTCAAAATAAATGATTTAAGTTGTTTGTTCTAATCTGATCTGGTCTTATCTGATATTGGGGCTAAGTGGGTAAGACGCTGGCTCGCTAGCCTGGAGGTCGGGTGTTCGATCCCTGCATTGCCCGAGAAAGTTCATCCAGATTTTCCCGCGTGGTTTCCCCTTGTCAGTGATGCAGGACGGAGGGCTCGACAAGGACAGCTGTCTAGTCGTTCGGATGGGACGAAAAACCGAGGTCCCGTGTACATATTGGCGTGCACGTAAAAGATCCCTTGGCAGTTGGAAGATCCCAGCTATTGTAGCAATGATCTCTGTGTCAAAATTATATTTGGAATGTGTTTAACCAGCTCTATCACATAATAATGTGATAATGACTGGCACCAATATTGTCCTTTAACTTAATTACCATAATAAACAGAGTTACCTCCCGTTAACCGTTAATTGCAGTAAAATTGTTCGGCTGCACACAATCCAATATTGATTTTTGACTCTGTTACTAGGGGTGTCACAATAAGACATTTTTTTTACAAATCATTTCAGGCCAGCAATTTCCAGAGGCGAAATTGCTAGCTGAACACGATTTTTAGAATTTTTTTTTATCTATGACGTCATTTTCGGTTGGGGTTTGTCTGATTTCCAAAATGGCCGCCAAAAGTTGACGTAAAATGAATTTCCAGATAGGATGGGTGATTTTCATGCAAGGTATGGCTTGTAATATATCATATATAAGGTTTTTGTTGTAATTGAACTGAAAAATAATCTCTAAAACTAGTTTCCCCAAATCCAAGATGGCGGAAATTCAAAATGGCGGCTAAAATTTACCTAAAATGGCCGATTTGTCAGATTAAAGTCATTTCACAGTTTGATTTGGTTTGTAATATGTAATCTAAAGGGTTTTCACTGTCACTGAACTTAAAATTAATCTAAAGAAAAAAAGAGTTTTCAAAATCCAAGATGGCGGAAATTCAAAATGTCGACCAAAATTTATCTAAAATGGCCGATTTGTCAGATAAAAGTCATTTCACTCTTTGATATGGTTTGTAATACGTAATTTAAAGGATTTTGAATGTCATTGAACTTAAAATCAATCTAAAATAGAGTTTCCAAAATCCAAGATGGCGGAAATTAAAAAATGGCGGCCAGATTTTCTCTAAATTGGTCAATTTTTAAGATAATCGTCAATTTTCTGTTTGATATGGCTTGTAATATGTCCTCTATTAAGTTTTCGGAGTCACTGAATTAGATATTTGTAGATGATTGTTTCAGAAAAAAAAGGGACAATCACCAATCTTTCTATTGGATTGGTTTATAATAGCAAATTGTAATAGTTTTTTTAGGGCAACTGAATTTGATCTGACCCAGGAATCTACCTTAATCTAAAGAAAAAAAGAGTTTTTAAAATCCAAGATGGCGGAAATTCAAAATGTCAACCAAAATTTATCTAAAATGGCCGATTTGTCAGATAAAAGTCATTTCACTCTTTGATATGGTTTGTAACACGTAATTTAAAGGGTTTTCAATGTCATTGAACTTAAAATCAATCTAAAATAGAGTTTCCAAAATCCAAGATGGCGGAAATTAAAAAAATGGCGGCCAGATTTTCTCTAAATTGATCAATTTTTAAGATAATCGTCAATTTTCTGTATTGATATGGCTTGTAATATGTCCTCTATCAAGTTTTCAGAGTCACTGAATTTGATAGGGGGGTTGGATGGCTGAATGGTTAGCATGCGCGTGCTGTATCATAAAGTCTGTCATTGAGTCGACTGGCGTGATTTTGAATCCCCGGTTGTACGTGGCAAGGAGTAGGGTCGCCTGTCCAACCTCGTGGGTTTTCTCCGGGTCCTCTGGTTTCCTCCCACTGCTAAAGACCCCTACGCACAAGCCAATTATGTAAATAAAATTAAACCATATGTTAGTCCCGAAATGACCTAGTTTGTGCCGAGTGGACGTTAAACCCCATTTCTCTCTCTTTCTCTCTGAATTTGATAATTGAAGATGATTGTTTCAGAAAAAAAAGGGACAATCATCAATCTTTCTCTTGGATTGGTTTATAATAGCAAATTGTAATACTTTTTTTAAGGGCAACTTAATTTGACCTGACCCAGGAATCTACCTGTCAATAAATAAACCATGTGCAGAACTTACCAGTCAGCTAATTAGAATTTCAAAGAATTTAACCTTAAGACACAATAAATGTAGCTTAATTGTTTTTATGCATAAAACCCCCATAACAATACAACGGGGCCAACTGACGCATTTTTAATTTCATCTCCTTTGTCTTTGCACCATTTTACCGGAGTGAGAATCATTTGTGGTATATCCAGTCGTTAAGAATTTAAGTTCTCCTATTCGTTCAGAAATGGTAATGTGGTCCGTTTTTGCATCGAAGACTCCGTGTCCAGTAACTTTTGTGGTATAGTCTAGATGTTGTATCCACAGGTCATTTTCGTCAGTTACGTATTTCACAACAAGTTCTACATGTAAGAACAACACATAAGAAAAGAGGAAATCGTGGGGGGTGACTTTTGGGATACCTAGTCGTAAATGCATTTCCAATTATTTTCGTGATGATTATTTTTAACTTAGAACTTGGTGTGCATTACATTACAGACGAATATGATCTGTGGATACCATACCACACAAGTTGCGGACACAGAGACTTCGATGATTCATTTTACACTTTTCACTTTATGAAATACATGACTGACAAATATGAATTCATCTGTCTAGATGATACCACAAACGGTTTCCGGACATAAGTCTTCTGAACAAAAGTTAATAAATATTGATATTCGTCAAGCAGTGTGCTATGAGGAAAATTGGCCCAGACAGTGGTACTATGGTGTACTCTTATTTCGAATTCCAACTGTCTAGGGTTCTTGTATGCGCACGTCAACGTGTACATATAAACCTGGTTTCTCGAGAAGCCCCCGGTGCTGCATCCTGACAAGGAGAAACCACACTGGAAAATCCTAAGGTACTTTTTCAGCAAACATAGGGATCGAACCCCAGATCTCGTTCTTAGCGAGTCTTACTCACTGAACCACTATTTCGAACCATTTCTGAATAAACAATAGATAAATTCTTAACAACTGGATATATATACCTCACTGTTTTGCTGGAATAATATTAAATCTTGTTTATGTGAGATCCAGTATAACAGTTCCAGTAACCATCAAAATAACTACTACTCTTTGCTATTACAAGCCAATCCCATAGGAAAATTCACGATTGTCCTGTTGTATTTTTAAGCAATCATCTACCATCTTCAAAATTCATTTTTGATGTAATATTCATTTTCAAAATTCATTTTTGAGGTAATATTCATTTTCAAAATTCATTTTTGAGGTTATTTTCAAGTTCGTGGACTTTGAAAACCTAATAAAGGACATTATTACAAGCCATACAAAACCGAAAAAATGACGATTATCTGAAAAATCGTTCATTTTAGGAAATTCTGGTCGCCATTTTGGATTTTGGAAACTCTTCTTTTGAGGTTGTTGAGTGACACAGAAAACCCTTTAAATCGCATATCACTCGCCATATCAAACTTAAAAATGACGATTATCCGAAAAATCGACCATTTTAGGGAAATTCTGGCCGCCATTTTGAATTTCCGCCATCTTGGATTTTGGAACCCCGTTATATTTAGATTAATTGTAAGTTGAGTGACACTGAAAATCCTTTAAATTACATATTATAAATCATATCAAAGAGTCAAATGACTTTTATCTGACAAATCAGCCATTTTATATTTTTGTATTTATTGATGTCAGTAAGATGTTACTATGGAGAACGTAAATTTCAGATTATACATTCCAGACTTCGTAATTGTAAAAGTGCTCTAAACTTCCATAGATTTTTAATGCATATTTCACATAACCCGACATGCAGTTGTGGTCATACTCAAGAAGACAGCGACCATTATTTTCTGCACTGCCCAAATTATTCGTCTCAGCGTATCTCAACATTAAATACCCTCCCATTTAAATCCATAAATACAAAAGCGTTCCTATATGGCGATACCAACGAAAGTAACCCGTTCAACAAAGTGAGTTTTAGTAAAGTTCACAAGTATTTAAAACTAAACAAGCGCTTTGAATAGATAAGGTAATTGTCAGGCCACGATGATTGGTGTTAAATAGTGATGATGACGATGATGATGACCATGAAGATGATTTATTTATATATTTATTTATATACTAGAAGAATGCCCGGCTTCGCTCGGGGGTCATAACTCCGAAACCGGAAGTGGTAGACTAACGCCACCTGGCCTATGTTACTCCCCGGTATGAGCTACCCCTATACCCCAAATTTCAGACTCGGAAATGACAACGTGAATGATGGATCAGTCGAACGACAGAGTGAATGACAGGAGTTTTCCAGTCGAATAATAAAGATAATGGCAACGCTGGTCATAGCATATCTGTTTATAATATATTTCATATAAATGTTTATACACGTATTTGAAAAATACATTTAGGTCTACGTGTAATGTTGAATGTATAAATTCGGAAATGTTTTGATCTCTTGAACTGTATTATTTAAAATACACGATTAACGTATTAAATTGTAAATAATGAATCAAGCCAAGACATGTATTAAATGTTTTAAATGTTTTATTGAATTGGAATAGAAACTGAAAACAGATTAACACCCTGTGTGAGATATTTCATTCAAATATTGTGAAAGGGTTGGTAATAAAATTAAAATTGTCATTGTGTCATTTTAATAACATTGAATCGTCCTATTCTGTTACGTAGTCGTCTCAACATATTGTTGTCATGGGTTACTTCTGCTAAACAACTCAATAGAAACGAGTAAAGTATTATAAACGAAATTATGTCTAAAGAGTTCTTCATGACATGTATTGACTGTAAGACACAAAGCGTACAGGATCTAAGTGTGATGTTAAAGGTCAACACGTAACTAGTGAACTGATATATATTGTACAATTTATCTAAAGAGTACATTTCTGAAAACGTGGTACTTTTCTGATATCTAGTTAAATTAACACTTACCCAGATCTTGGCATAAGCATGACTTAAAATGATCACGGCTAAAACACTTCCGTGACAATCAAGAATTCTTTATGTAAGAATAGAGCTTTATAAGACCGTAAATGCACCACACATTATGTCTCCATAAGATGGTAGCTATATCAAACTTAAAAATGACGATTATCCGAAAAATCGACCATTTTAGGGAAATTCTGGCCGCCATTTTGAATTTCCGCCATCTTGGATTTTGGAACCCCGTTATATTTAGATTAATTTTAAGTTTAGTGACACTGAAAATCATTTAAATTACATATTATAAATCATATCAAAGAGTGAAATGACTTTTATCTGACAAATCAGCCATTTTAGGTAAATTGTGGCCGCCATTTTGAATTTCCGCCATCTTGGATTTGGGGAAACTAGTTTTAGAGATTATTTTTTCAGTTCAATTACTAAAAAACCTTATATATGATATATTACAAGCCATACCTTGCGTGATAATCACCCATACTATCTGGAAATTAATTTTTCGTCAAATTCTGGCGGCTATTTTGGAAATCAGAAAAACCCCAACCGAAAATGACGTCATAGAAGTAAAATAATCTCATAATCGTCTTCAGTGACAAATTTTGCCTCAGAAACAACCCGACCCCAAATTTTTTTCCGATTGTGACACCCCTACTGTTACACTAATAATTGATATTGACCTAAATGAATCATTGCCTAAAACATTCACGGGGTAATACTGGTTAATTTGATACCTCATATGTGGGGTTGGGGCACGGCGACGAAGTGTGATGGTGAACATACATATGCACACACACACTTTTAGTACAGCATGTTAGATTCTGCATAGCCAGACACTGGGCTCAGAACTTTTCGTGTTGCATCGTTTTGATTTTTGTATCTCCCTACTTAATTCTCACCGAATTAAAACATTTCAATACTTTTTTTTATTGATGCAGTTTTATATAAGGTTGTTAGGTGGACTGTATGTTTTAAAAAAAATAACAACAGATTTGTTCTCGGCAATTTCATTTTCTGTAATTCGCCACAACAGTTTGAGGGCACTGGCTACATTATTTCCTCAATTCATAAAACAAAGACAGATTAATGGATTCTGAATATTAAGAAAAAAAGGCCAACAGTGAGGTTGGTGTCCCTCGCCGAAATCCCAAAATAAATAGATGACACATATTAATTAATTGCACACTTATCTTTTTCAAAAGTATCAAGCAATCGAACTGATTATCTAGACCTTAGTCTAACCATAAAATGTTCACGATCATACTCAGTCAAGGTTTTGAAGTACCTGGTAGTGAAACTATACACGAAGTTTCATTACTCTCTACCAAAACGCACCAAAAACCTTATTCATTTACTATAACACCGACAACAAAACAGCCAATCTGTTTTACAGACCTAATGCGACATCCGTCTTTTATCTCTGTCCAAGATGACTGACCTTTAAAAGGTCAGACCGCTGTAGTTCTAAGGGTGACGTCACATTACAATGTTTACCAACAAAGCAAGATGGCTTCGATAACGCCAAAAAATATTACTTCTGTGGCTTGTTTTTGTTGTTTTAAAACAAACACAAGCAGGTCAATCAGATTAGACGGTAAAAAATGTACTTCTGAAAGAATTCAGAGTAAACAAACAGAAAAAAAACGTCAAATTGATGGTCACACGTGCGTTGTTTACATCGAACGTAGTAATATGAACCGGTACGGGCAGAATTATATCGTTTTACCCATTTTACGCCTCCGCGTACTATTTTCTGTACCTATTTACGCTAATTATGGAATATTTTTTTTATCAAGATATACTTCAAACACCTTTATTTATTTTGCTATAGTAAAAAAAATGTTTCAGAATTTAATTTGCCGAAAGAAAAAAGTTAATATTTTGTAGTCATTAAGTCGCATCGATGTCATCCTTATCAGTGATTGTAGCGGCCAAGCGAATATTCACTGCGGATCAGTGTGCAAAACAGCAATAAATTTATTTATTTCCCATTCTTTGTCGGCTATGATTAAATCGTATGAATAGAACGCACCCAAACCCCTATCATGTCTACTTAAATCATACCAGCAAACTATCTGGTCGAAATATAAAGTCATACCAGCAAACCATCTGTTCGAGTTATAAAATCATACTACTAAACTATCTGTTCGAGATATAAAAAAGCAACAATATAATTTAAATAACTACTGTGTAAAGTATAATAATTAGAAGTTTTGTATCATATGCTAATAGTCTCTATTCGTGTTTTCAATAAGCATTCCATATGATTTTATAATCTTAAGATGGCGGTCATCACATTTCTGAAAGTAGATTTAAGGGGACTGAACAACCAACCAACCCCATTTCTCTCTCTCTCTCTTTCTTTCCCGACACCCCACCCTTACACACCTAGTGCAAGTATAATATTAAACCATCTGAACGGAGCTTAAATTAGTTGTCATTACCACTATTCCTTTATTTTATGCGAGTATTTTAATTGGAAATTCCGTAATCTGTTATTAATGGCTATTTTACTGACTTCTCTTTCGTCTGGTGTTCGATCCCTGCATTGGCCGAGAAAGTTCATCCTGATTTTTCGACGTGGTTTCCCCCTGTCAGTGATGCAGAACGGAGGGCCTGACAAGGACAGCTGTCTAGTCCTTCGGATGAGACGAAAAACCGAGGTCCTGTGTATACATTAGAATGCACGTAACCCGGGCAAAATTTCCCTCATAGCACACTGTATGGCGTATGCCCGTCTTCATTAGCCCAGTATAGGAGCAGAACAGTAGGACGTTAAACCCCATTTCATGTCATTTCATTTCATTTCTCTTTCGTCTAACATAAACTTATTTTCTTAATGCCAGTTACTTATTGATTTTAGTTTAATTTTCTTTTTGCCAGTTAGTTATTGATTTTAGTGTATTATATATAGATTCTAATTCTATTGAATTGAATCTGATCAAGTGTCTTTGTTTATATATTTTTAAAATTATTATTAATATTGTTAGATACATTTTGGTTTCGTTAATGTAGTTGATTGTTTTCAATAAAGCTTTCTTTAACTGGTGAACCTTACTCGGTAAGCCACCGTGATTCCTATATAAGAATAAGGAATAAATAAAACTTACATCGTATGGTGATTTCATTTTTATCTACATTTATCAACATTATTATTAATATTGTCAGATACACTTTGTTTTCTTACTATGGACGTAACCTGACTGTATCCAAGAAAGCCAACTCAATGAACCAACGAGGCCCGGATATAAGAATAAGGAATAAATTATACTTACGTTTTGCCATGATGATCGTTTAAAAGAACTATGGTGCCATTGGTTTGAATAATCCTTGGTTTATTTGCGTCCTTGTAAAACCAGCAAATACAACTTTTGCTTGAATTTGAATTCAGGCGATGTAATCCCATAATTTTCACTCGATGATCTTCTGGTTCCGCAAATGCAGAAAAAACAAATGAATTGTTCATATTATCGACAATTTGCAATCTATCACTATTTTCAGGCCAGGTGAGGTTAACGGCGCATTGTTTCTCTGGCACAACCTTCCTTTGTTTTTCGTTGTCAAATTGCGATATTGCTTTTTTGACGACAACCTGTTTTGTAGACGTTTGTTTTGAGCTTGTCCTTGTCTCTGGTATTCGTTCGGAATATTTTGTTCCAATTTTCCCGTTCGCCATTTTCGACTGAAAAGTTATACTTTCACAATTATTTTTTGGGTATGTATAAAGTATTAAAAGAACAAATGGCAGGCATATCGTACATAAAGCCGATTTCAATCTGAGTTTCATTTTCCTCAAACATTCACTCTACACGCCGAAAAGTATTACTAATGCGAATCGATTACATTTTTCGAGGGCTTAAAAGTCACATGGTTTGGCCGAATTGTTAGCGCGTGCGCGTTGCATCATAAGCTCTGTCATTGAGTCAGGAACTTGTTAAAACGTAATGTGAAATAAACTCAGTGATTGTTTTCCATATGAATTGTGTTTAATTATTATACATTCAATTACTAAATGTCGTAGAAGGATTACATAATATTAAGCAGCTGTGGTTTCTAGCTGTGAGTTGAGATACAATTAGTCCCGCTGATGTATGTAAATGATCAAGTTATATAATCATGTATAGTGGTCCAATAATTTATCACACATTAATTGTTATGTAGTCTATCGTATAGGCTTATCGTGAGATAATCGGATTTCATGATATCATTTATGCATGTACGATTATAGTTAATTGGATTACTGCAATGAACTCTATTAGTAAAATATGTTCATAACAAAACACAACAACACAAGGTATAATCCTTGAGTGGCATTTAGCGATTGAACACATTAAAAACACAACACAGTTTATATGGAAATACAATCACGTTTCGACAAGCTTGTGCTTGATAACGATAAGAGAATACTTGTCGAAACGTCGTGCTATACTTATAAACCAGTGATTGTATTTCCATATAAACTGTGTTGTGTTTTTAACACAAGGTATATATGGATATAACTACTTCTCTATTATTTAATGGATCATAATCCACCTAATTAACACCCATTTATTTATATTTGTTTCATATTGTCTTATCTTCTATATTTCTTTAATCACCCGTCTCCAGTCCGAAAAGTTGTCAAGTAATTCCGAACCGTCGTCAAACTGAGTTCGAATGGACGTTTGTGTTGAGTCTGAAATGGCGTGCTACCACCAATATTGGCAATATGTTGGAAATAAAAGATGTATTTTTATTGACCCATTAAAATTTTTAAAGGCTAAAAAAAAGAAAAGATCAACTTAGGTCACATTCCTAATCACAGACCTTATTTACCTGTATTTGGATATTTGGAGACATAAGTTTATGTCAATTCCCATATCCACATTGGAGCTTATTTACTATTAAGCATTGAACCAATAATTCTTTTATTAATTGTCTGCTGTGAAGCCTGTGTTTTATGTTGATTATTGTTTACCAAAAGAATATATAGTAATATTAACAATCAACACAAGAGTCCTGTCTTCATTTCATGACAGGCCCGTAACTCACCCCCCCCCCCCCCCGTCAATTTTACAGCTCCCCCTGAGAACACTTCCCAACACCCTCGTTGCTCTGAGGTAGTTACGTCTCTGTTTCATCATCAACGAGAAATCCAGAAAATACACAAGAAGTGCACGTGATTTGTACATTAGGTCATGTGATACTATGTTACACATTTACTGATCTAAATATTTTCAAAACCGCATTTCTATTATGACTTTCTGGAAGATTAATCCATATCTATTTGGATCATTCACAGTGTCTGACCCTCCGTCGTGCATGCACCCATCAAAAAACAAACCAAACATATATAAAGCTACGGGGTTCTGGGTGACCGAGACTAATATAAAATGAATGAAATGAAATGGGGTTTAACGTCCTACTGTTCATCTCCGAACTGGGTTAATGAAGACGGACATACGCCATACAGTATGCTATGAGGGAAATTGTGCCCGGACAGCGGCACTACGACCTACTCTTATATCGAATTCCAACTGTCAGGGGATCTTTTACGTGCACGCCTATGTGTACACGGGACCTCGGTTTTTCGTCCCATCCGAACGACTAGACAGCTGTCCTTGTCTGGCCCTCCGTCCTGCATCACTGACAAGATGGACTTTCTCGGCCGAGACTAATATAAAAATGATATAATAATAATCCATTTCGACAACCTGGTTCACTTCCTACTACTCTTGGGTAAAAACTTATATATTAAAATCTGTACACGGCAAAGCGATCCAATTTAGTGGATGTCAAATGGCCGTCAAGTGTTACCATGCCAACGAATACAATCAAGAATCTGCTTCAAAGGTACACTTGGATCATGGATCACTTGGCTTTTCAGCCCTCCAGTTGTTAAGTTATTGCACTGCAATAAAGTTACGTGATTGTTAATTTAATACTCATTTACACTAAATAGGAAATAATTTTTACCTTACAAATACGTCAAACATCTTTATTTATTTTTCTAATACATAAAAAAATGTTTTAGAATTTAATTTGTCGAAGGAATGGGCCTAACTAGACACAGCTGCTTCCAATAGGCCTAACTAGACACAGCTGCTTTTTGGGCAGACGGATAAAGTGAAAACAAAAATTATTATTTCATCTATTTGACAAAATAAAGTGCCCGAAATCTAATAAAAAAACTAACACTAATATTACTTTTATTTTAATTAAATACCACGAATTTGTACTGAATTGACTATGGAATAAAACATTTTGTCTAGAACAAGTTTGTGCAACACTTTCTGGGCATAGATTATTAATATAACTTTGGTAAATGCAGCTGCAACTGTCTGATTGGATGATTGGAATTCAGATCGGCGTAGAGTGGGATTTCATTTGCAAAAAAAGATTGGAAATTTTCATAGTTGCTTAACTTATGGCTCCAGAATAGCAGGAAAACGCATTTGCGGCTTGTTTTCATTTTTAAATGTTCTCGGGGAACGTGATGCCCCCATACCCTGAGACCACCGATTGGTTGTTTGGGATCCAGGCCAGCCACCTAGGGCAAGGTATACTGGGCCACATTGCTGAAGTTGTTGTATTCCAGGTTGGAATAGCAGGAAAACGCGTTTGCGCCGTCAAACTTAGGCTACCAAATTATCGTTCTATAACCCGAAATCCTTTCGGTCATTTCAGGTTTTGCCCCACTCCCACACTGATCAGCAATGAATATTCGCTAGGCCGCGACAATCTCTGATAAGGATGACATCGATGCGACTTAATGAGCCACAAATATTAACTTTTTTCCTCATACAAATTAAATTCTAAAACATTTTTTTTATGTATTAGAAAAATAAATAAAGACGTTTGACGTATTTGTAAGGTAAAAATTATTTCCTATTTAGTGTAAAGTCGATCCAAATAGAAATCGAAAGTTGTCGATAATCATAATGATAGCTATGTTTCCCCATACAATCTTGTCAGATTCACAAGGCTACATAGCAATTTTTCAAAGCACCGATTTCAGATTTTTAAAGCATGGATTTTTTATCCAGAGGCACGTTCGTTGTCTGTAGGCACGTTAAAAAAGCTAAATCGCTATTCTTTGGCACGTAGAAACGGACACAAATGGGTCGCAACGCATATAATAATGCTATATGAATGTATATAAACTGATTTACATTCAATCGTTTCACTGTAATTTCTAATCAGTTATGTTCGGTGAAAAACGCTAAGAATCTGAAATGAATGACAGCCATGGCGTCCGGTTATTCCAGTCTACGCCGGTAGTATTCTTCTTTTATGGGGTATTTTTAGCTTCCTTGATCTTGTCGCTTCACACAACTGGCGCTCGAAAGCATTCTGGCACACGTATTGAAGATATATAATCCATCAAAAAACGTTAGGTGGACTATATTTCCATGTCAAGTCTTAAAAATGGGGTTTGACTGTCTGACTACCGTACAAAACTTTCCGAGAATTAACTCATTGATATTGAAATAATTGAAGTGTTGCTAAGTGTTAGTGTTGAAATGAAATGTGGTTTAACATCCTACATCTCCGAGTGCTGAGGCGAATTTTGCCCAAACAGCGACAATACCACCTACTCTTATTGTCAATGGTTCTTTTATGTACACGCCAATACAATATGTACACAGTACCTCATTTTCTCAGGTACTAACTTCGTCAATAGTGAGGTAACATTGGCTTAGTATTGGGTGGTACTGGATAGTATTGGGTGGTACTGGGTAGTATTGGGTGGTACTGGGTAGTATTGGGTTGTACTGGGTGTTAGTATTGGGTGGTAGTATTGGGCGCGACTGTGTGGCACTGGGTAGTATACAATAAATCATCCTGCAATCCCTCCACACCCACCTATGACTTTGATTAAGAATCCAAACAGAACTGTGACATATTTTACACAACTGAGATTGGTTTCCATTTGGACAATCAACCTACAACTTAAACATTTCAAAACTAAAACCTCTCCACCTATCCGAGATGAAAACAAAAACAGAACAACCCCTAACTATTCTAATCTAGTTTTAACTTTTATATTTCAAGTCATCAACTTTTCACAAAATCATGTACAAAATATATAATGAATAGTTTACATAATGATGTTGATATATTTACAATGTTCAATAACATAATGTTAAACTATGATCTTTTCTCTAACTATATTAAAGATACATTATGTAAGAGCCTAATCTTCCTATCACCATTTTTATTTCGGCTTCAAATGTGACCCTTAGACATTTATTTACATGTCAAGCCCCGGCCCATAGCTATCAGGGAGGGGGGGGGCAACTCCCCGCCCCCGGTCGCTGCTAAACTGCTCCCCCTCCCCGACTAGCTACGGGCCTGCAAGCCTATATTCAACACCCTAGGCCCTCGTATGTCGTAGATTTAAATATGATTGCCATTTAATTTAAAAAATGGAGAAGCGAGGCTGAGTCTTGATTAACAAGTAACGTTAATGATATTAAACAATCTATGCCACGTCCTGTCAAAACTTCAAACAGTCATAACTTTGCTCAGAATAAGGTATATTCAATACATTAATTTTGTCATCTTAGACAAATAATAATTCCAACTTCAAATCAGTTGTATTTATTCAAATCATACTATGAATAATTGTATTTTTCCACTTGCATAATAATAAAAACTTGACTTTTATTATTTTATTTCTTCAGGCCAAGAACATGGAAAATTGGTAATTGCCTTGTATCACTGCTAACTATAAGGCACAGTGAGCCTTGGGCAGAAATGATAATAATATGGTTCTCAGATATGTTACTGTGTACAGACTGAACAAAAAATATATATACACTTGCTATTACATGTACATTGTATCATTGGCAATAATAAGATCCAATTTTAGTTTTTAGTTACACTGTTAACCACCAATAGATGACAATAAATCATAAAATGTATTCAGCTCGACGTAAGACTTAAATAAATAGTTACAGTTGGTTTAACTTGAATAGAAGTTTTAATTATCTATGCTGCATATATGCATATATCACCTTGTAGCTGAATCACATTACATATCTTTTTAGTTGATGTTCATATCGTCTTACGTATTTGTCAACATCAAGGTGACCTTGTTCTATGTCACATTAGCCTTTTCAGACTTGTTACCACGAATTTACTCGCATAGTTATGAATTTATTGTTTCACTTGACTAAAGAAACATTTTGTAGGAATGTATGCTTTTATAGATTGGACACTTGTTTGCAATATCATTGTCGGTGGAAACTGGCACTATACCTAAAGAATGACTGAACAAATAGCGGAGACGGGGTTTCAGCCGGCTGATTTAAATTATTTCTTTAAATACAGTAAAGCTTGAAATATGTCAGTTTTCACTCTTTAGAATGTTTTTGTAAATAAGTTTTTATTGTAGTTTCCGTGGCGTATTCCCAATAAGCGTTAGAAACAAAGATATACACCCTTAATCCCGGTGCCGATAAATGTTGGGTTGTGTGGAACATGCTAACAAATCTCGGGTACGATATATGTTTGATTCTGGTTGAAAACAGCATGAGAGCAACATGATTGTTTTCACTGGAGATGAGACGCAAATATTCAAAGGGGTCAGACAAACTCTAAACCAACCGCGTTCCCTTCACTGAGTCCCTTCAAAGGAGGCCCTGTCTGTCTACCTGTGGAATAACATGCATTTGTATCTGTTAAATTTTTGTGGTAGACAGATTGATATTATTTATATAACGTCTTACCCCAAACAAATTGCAAAAGAAACCATGAAGTTTCTGAGAGCGATATTTCGTAATTAGTGTGCTTTAATGGTGGGAGAATAAATAATTTCTTTTTAAATTTTTCAAACACAAACTGGTCATATATAAAATAGCATTTTCTGACAAGACCAGCGATAATCTCGTAAGATATGACTTTTACTATGTCTATTAAATGGTTTTCCACGTCTCTTCAAGGTCACCGTCTTGCGCCAAAGTCGTGAAACGCACCGTCTGGGGAGTTGTTGGGGCCTGTCTCCCCCAGAAAAATTTCTAGAAATTTCAAGTCGATCTTGCCTGGCCGTGAATACGGCAACCTGAAAGTGGTCGATTTTAATGTAGACATCTGAACTCCAATCAACAAATCAATCAACCAGGCTGTTGTCGTTGCATTCACATGACACCAGACGTGTCACCGATGAAACAAATATGCCTGAAACAAATGTCGCTGTTAGTGCGACCCATTTGTGACAATTTCAAGGTCCCAAATAATAGTCCTTTTTTACTATTAATAGTAATTCAATCAGTAAGTGCTATTTACCTTATAATAGTCGTCTTGGCTTTTACCCGACATTACACAAAACACCAATGGTAACTGTCGGGTGGTCTCTCCAGTCTTAATGAAGGCGTGGATGGAAAACAGCTGAGACCATGGCTTGTTCACCACCCGAAAAGTTGCATCCATATACCAAGTTTTTGCGCGTGCGAGTAGTTGCATCTGTCTATCAGTACAAAAAATGTGATGGCGCCTTTCCCCAACTTTTACTCTTTTTTGATAAAATCCCGGTGCACTATGATCGATGAAATCTTCGTCAAGCTAAAACAAAAAATAAATAAAAAAGCACATTTAATTACATGTTAATAAATAAATAAAATTGTACATTTAATTACATGTTAATAAATTCTTATATACATGGGTATTTAATTGCATGAGTACTTACGCTTGACGACACGTCAGTGGGATCTTTTGGTCGCAGAGTCTGTCGGGTTCTTTGTAGCGACCTTACAAGTGCTGCCATGGGTGGTCTGCTATGAATGGGTTCTTCTGCAGAACCGACACTGGATAAAACTCTCTCCGCTATTGAGGAACATGACTTGGTAAAAACATTTCCTTTGGCTTCATGCTTTGCCTGTAATGATAAGATAAAACATATTAAACTACAAATATATTATTGGTTTATTTATATTTTATTTATTTACACACATATATAAATTTTTAATTTAATTGATATATAATTTTTAAACCTACTGTAACTTTTATCTTGGTAGCCGTCTGTATACCGGGTTCTGCTGGGTGAAGATGGTTCTTTAAGCCTGGTTGGTATGTATCACCATCTTGGATTACTGTTGCCGGACATCGTGTTGGTCCGCTTCTTTTGGAACACCTTCAAATCGTAGTTTTCTTCTCTGTCTAAAATATATTAAATTCATTTATTATTATAGAGTTAACTAGGTTAACTCGAGTTAATTATCTTTACATTTTGTAGCTGAAATACATTTCAAAACAAGGTTAACTAGGTAAAATAAATCACCCTACCTTAATTGTATAACTAAACCCTTGGTTGTCAAACAACTTGGACTTGCCACGGGAGGTACCAGCTTCTACCTGCGTATACACCACTACGGGTTCTTCGTCGCAGAAGACACTAACGTCGGCATCGTCTGAGATGGAGGACTCCATGACCGGAACTGGCACATCGTATCGGGTTTCGGCTGTAAACGATTCTTCTACTTCCATAGGTTCAGTTGTTGGGGCCTCCATAACTTCTTCTTGTTGTTCGTCCATATCTTCCGTCTGCTTATTAGATTTAAGGTTGTTTTTTTAAAACATAAATTAGATTACAATTTAACTAACACAAAAGTGTAAAAAGATTTTTTTCTAGTCTGTGCCCGCGTTTATGTCTACTCTTGGCAAAATTGTTATAATATAAAAAAAATCATGAAACAAGAATCAAAATGGCCGCCAATCGGGTCTCCAACGCCAATCCAACCTCCCAAGATATAATTTCAAAACAGATTCTTACCTGCTGGTTCAAGTCGAGCCGTTTCTGCTTTAATCATAATGTGATTCTGTAATGTAAGTATTTGAACAACATCGTAGCGCAGAACAACTAATGTTAATTAAGCATGATTTCAGAAAAATTGAACAGATTTGATAATAACATGCCGAAATTTTTTTCCTGACCGCGCCATATTATAAACATGAACTTCCGGTTAAAATTGTTGGAGTTTTTTTTAAGGAAACGAAATACTAATATTATACAGAGAAACAATATCGATGCTAAATTACATACATGGTATTATTTTTTTTTATATAAATATTCACAAACCTGCGGTCTTGTATTCTATCTGACCATTAACTTACATTTGTCAAACATATCACTGCTCCAAAATCATTTCAGCACGTTGTTAAATGTTAAATTAATTGTGTGAAATCACTTCATTTAATGTCCGCTTCCACCGAGATGATATCGCAGACAAAATGTAGCCTATAGTACGTTGGTTTTATCAACCAATCACATTCACTTATTTTCTTGTCAACGCATTTGGAGTCAATTGTTAAAATCACACCGGGCATGAGCGCTCAACAGGCCTTTGATCTACCAGTTTATTGGGCCCAACTTTATTTTAACTACAGACATCTTAACACCAATTAGCATTCAAGTCTGTCTGGCTATATTGTCTGAGTAAAAAATACTTTTCTCTTACTTGTGGACCCCCGGATTAAGACTTTGTATGGAGTTCAAATTTTAAAAAAAAAAATATTTGTTGACGGAACACATTACTTGTGTTAATTATATGGAAAATACACAAGATTTGTGTTAATGCATTAAAAAGAACACAAGTTTGTGTTAATGCAATGCAAAACAACACATAACTTGTGTAGAATAATTTTCACACAAGTACTTGTGTTGAGATCCAACACAAGTTTTTTTTCAGTGCAGCAATAATAAACTAAAAACTATCATATTTGATTTAAATTTGGTTAGCTTAGCAAATTTTGCTTGAGGCTCGTGACACAGATTTGCAGACAACAAAAAACGATAAAAGAATACAAATAGGGTAAAACTATTTAATACGCCATTACTGATGGGGTGATATTTATTTATTTATGATTTCTGAGATTAGGGAGATCAAATGCGTACCGTTTGGGTTTGTCATGGGTCCAATCCTAGTGTTGTGAGTTTGAACTCCTTATACTTCGCCTAGCACTATGGTAGGGTGCCCCACCATAAATAAATATCTCCAAATATCTCGACAATTACACCACAATATTTAGATACATACCAAGCCTTAAATCAGTTTCGCTCATTTATAGTCACTAAATAAACGGTCATGCTTTACTTAATAAGCTATGACCATTTAACCATCCGTAAATAATAGACTGAAAAATGGTTACTAGTGTCGGCCATATCATCCGAGCAATTTGTCATTAGTCTCGCTTAACAAATCTACCGTCCATTCAAAGTCTTGACAGGCCGGGATAATCAAGACTACTTTTTACGAACCATAACAGAAAGCTGGAACAAGAAATTGAATTTAGAAACACGCACGTTGGGCAACTCAAAAATTGGTTTAAGAACCTTGTAAAAGTAAAATGAATCTACTTCTAGTATCATGTTCCCGTCTAACCCGAGTCTTTCAGAGATATTATTTGTACTAAACCAAAAGATGCCGCTAATAACGGTACAGTTAATGATAAGCAATTAAAAAATTAAAACGAACGTAATTTCTAAAGCTGCTGTAATAACCAAAAAGATAAATATTATTGCTATTCAGAATCGCCAACAATATATTTATTTACATGTGCAGAGAATTTGACGTACTATAGCTATTTTTATACTCGTAGACTCTGTTATCGCACTGCGTAACAAGCCACTGAAGCGTGCAAATTCGCCGTGTCGAGTTCAACATTCTGTAGCAAAAATTTTCATTGCATTCGGTTGGGTCCTACGCACAAGCGAATTATTGAAATAAATTTGACTTTGTGTCGAGTGGAATGGGTCTAATTCTAGTGTTGTGAATTTGAACCTATATACTCCGCCTAGCACTAATTTGTGGTATTCGGTTGACTCTCTCTCTCTCTCTATCTCTCTCACCCCCTCTCCATCTCTCACACACACACACACACCCACACACCCACGGTGTACACAACGTTCAAAGAAGTTCAATACGCTTTCACACATGTATACAAGGCGTAGGAATACTATTAAACCTTTTGATCACACGATCTACAACACGGCTGCTATATTGTCTCGTTTTGTCATTGAAAATCCTGGATGGTGAAGAATTTTTTAACCGATAGTGATGAAGTAACGCAGTAGTATAATTCACATGTATTAGCTTATGAGCTCGCTTTTGTTTAGCCACGGTATGTATAGCCATGACGTCTATCAGTTCCGGCTTGCCAATCACTTTACAACGACTATTGTACTCAAATATATAGTTCTCTCGCCACACTTTTAACAATGTTCTCAATTTATAACGAGTCGCTAAATCTTTCTGACGATATCCTCTAGTGTCATCCGGCATATGTGTGTCAAAAAAAGTAGTCCTGAATGAAAAAGACGACGCTTTCGGTTCAGCTGACGTCAAGTTGTCCATCATTTCCATCCAATCGTTAAAGGTGTATGGAATTAAAATCTCGTCAATATCCACAACAACCACATAACGCGAGATACCACGAGATCTATAAACACAATCGTTCACTGCAGCAATTTGCCCAAAATAATGAACATCCTTCGTACCGATCGGTAATTTGTAGTTCAAAAGAGTTACCTCCCCTCTTTTGATATAATCGTTTAAGACGATTTTCATTGGTTGAGACGAAGAAAAATGGTGGATTACGAAATGATTAGCTCCTAGAACTTTATCAAATTCAAGAGCTTCCACAAATCCCATAACATTCCCAAAGCTTGAATGCATCACAGAGAGACAGAGCGTGAAATTTCTCTGAACAGTTTTTTCTGGATAATGTAGAATCATACGATTGAGTGGTTTGTCTTTGATTGACGGTGTAACTGACACAGCATACCAAACCCCTTTATCATTTAGATCACACGTGACCATCATGGCACCATACCTGTATGTGAATGAAAAATACAATAACTTTAGTTTATCTTACAAAACGAAATCTAATTTCAAACACACATAACATAACACATAACATATTACATTTGACACAGTGCACATTACTGCCATGCGATCAATGGCGCTTCACAAAGTCTTACACAAACGTTAAAGAAATGCTTTACGAAAAAAATATGTTTTGAGTTTCTTTTTAAAATCCGTTACAGTTTGGCATTGTTTCAAATTTTCTGGAAGGGTATTCAGGAGCCGCGTATAAATAACATGTTTTTTGATGACGATCTCGTATTGTATGATGAAGTTTGGGACTGCAATAATTCAGAAAGGTAGGCAGGGTCAAGGTTGTGGAGACACTTATACACCAGTACCAGTAGCTTGAATTGGCATCGGACTTCAACTGGCAATATATGAAGTTCTTTCAGAGCAGCAGTCGAGCTATGGCCGTAATTAACACCAAGAATTTTTGCAGTAAAATTTTGAATTCCTTGGATAGGTTGAAGAGTTGTTGCTGGCAAACCACAGAGCAGACTATTTCCGTAATCCATATGTTTCGTTTTTCATAGTTCAAAATTTCTTTTCATCGAAAGTATACAAAAACTGTTAGTGCTAAATGATAAGGCCGTCTTAATGTTTCGTCATAGGTCACGATATATAAACAGGGCTAGCGCTAATCCCAACCTTCGCCCTGGACCTAACTCCTAATGCTTACCCTAACTCTAACCTACAATCTCGCCAACAATCACGTGCCCTAACCTTATTTACACCTCAACGAACTTGACAAAATTTGAGCTGGCCTTAACAAATAGATTTAGCCATACACAAACGAAAACAAATCTTGATATTATTTTTACAGTTACAGGCTTTTAAATGGTTTTCACAGAGTCAGAAACTAAATATCTCGATTTAGGTCAAAATAAATGATTTAAGTTGTTTGTTCTAATCTGATCTAGTCTTATCTGATATTGGGGCTAAGTGGGTAAGACGCTGGCTCGCTAGCCTGGAGGTCGGGTGTTCGATCCCTGCATTGGCCGAGAAAGTTCATCCAGATTTTCCCGCGTGGTTTCCCCTTGTCAGTGATGCAGGACGGAGGGCTCGACAAGGACAGTTGTCTAGTCGTTCGGATGGGACGAAAAACCGAGGTCCCGTGTACATATTGGCGTGCACGTAAAAGATCCCTTGGCAGTTGGAAGATCCCAGCTATTGTAGCAATGATCTCTGTGTCAAAATTATATTTGGAATGTGTTTAACCAGCTCTATCACATAATAATGTGATAATGACTGGCACCAATATTGTCCTTTAACTTAATTACCATAATAAACAGAGTTACCTCCCGTTAACCGTTAATTGCAGTAAAATTGTTCGGCTGCACACAATCCAATATTGATTTTTGACTCTGTTACACTAATAATTGATATTGACCTAAATGAATCATTGCCTAAAACATTCACGGGGTAATACTGGTTAATTTGATACCTCATATATGGGGTTGGGGCACGGCGACGAAGTGTGATGGTGAACATACATATGCACACACACACTTTTAGTACAGCATGTTAGATTCTGCATAGCCAGACACTGGGCTCAGAACTTTTCGTGTTGCATCGTTTTGATTTTTGTATCTCCCTACTTAATTCTCACCGAATTTCAACATTTCAATACTTTTTTTTATTGATGCAGTTTTATATAAGGTTGTTAGGTGGACTGTATGTTTTAAAAAAAATAACAACAGATTTGTTCTCGGCAATTTCATTTTCTGTAATTCGCCACAACAGTTTGAGTACTTTGAGGGCACTGGCTACATTATTTCCTCAATTCATAAAACAAAGACAGATTAATGGATTCTGAATATTAAGAAAAAAAGGCCAACAGTGAGGTTGGTGTCCCTCGCCGAAATCCCAAAATAAATAGATGACAAATATTAATTAATTGCACACTTATCTTTTTCAAAAGTATCAAGCAATCGAACTGATTATCTAGACCTTAGTCTAACCATAAAATGTTCACGATCATACTCAGTCAAGGTTTTGAAGTACCTGGTAGTGAAACTATACACGAAGTTTCATTACTTCTCTACCAAAACGCACCAAAAACCTTTTTCATTTACTATAACACCGACAACAAAACAGCCAATCTATTTTACAGACCTAATGCGACATCCGTCTTTTATCTCTGTCCAAGATGACTGACCTTTAAAAGGTCAGACCGCTGTAGTTCTAAGGGTGACGTCACATTACAATGTTTACCAACAAAGCAAGATGGCATCGATAACGCCAAAAAAGATTACTTCTGTGGCTTGTTTTTGTTGTTTTAAAACAAACACGAGCAGGTCAATCAGATTAGACGGTAAAAAATGTACTTCTGAAAGAATTCAGAGAAAACAAACAGAAAAAAAACGTCAAATTGATGGTCACACGTGCGTTGTTTACATCGAACGTAGTAATATGAACCGGTACGGACAGAATGATATCGTTTTACCCATTTTACGCCTCCGCGTACTATTTTCTGTACCTATTTACGCTAATTATGGAATATTTTTTTTATCAAGATACACTTCAAACACCTTTATTTATTTTGCTATAGTAAAAAAAATGTTTCAGAATTTAATTTGCCGAAAGAAAAAAGTTAATATTTTGTAGTCATTAAGTCGCATCGATGTCATCCTTATCAGTGATTGTAGCGGCCAAGCGAATATTCACTGCGGATCAGTGTGCAAAACAGCAATAAATTTATTTATTTCCCATTCTTTGTCGGCTATGATTAAATCGTATGAATAGAACGCACCCAAACCCCTATCATGTCTACTAAAATCATACCAGCAAACTATCTGGTCGAAATATAAAGTCATACCAGCAAACCATCTGTTCGAGTTATAAAATCATACTACTAAACTATCTGTTCGAGATATAAAAAAGCAACAATATAATTTAAATAACTACTGTGTAAAGAATGATAATTAGAAGTTTTGTATCATATGCTAATAGTCTCTATTCGTGTTTTCAATAAGCATTCCATATGATTTTATAATCTTAAGATGGCGGTCATCACATTTCTGAAAGTAGATTTAAGGGGACTGAACAACCAACCAACCCCATTTCTCTCTCTCTCTCTTTCTTTCCCGACACCCCACCCTTACACACCTAGTGCAAGTATAATATTAAACCATCTGAACGGAGCTTAAATTAGTTGTCATTACCACTATTCCTTTATTTTATCCGAGTATTTTAATTGGAAATTCCGTAATCTGTTATTAATAATGGCTATTTTACTGACTTCTCTTTCGTCTGGTGTTCGATCCCTGCATTGGCCGAGAAAGTTCATCCTGATTTTTCGACGTGGTTTCCCCCTGTCAGTGATGCAGAACGGAGGGCCTGACAAGGACAGCTGTCTAGTCCTTCGGATGAGACGAAAAACCGAGGTCCTGTGTATACATTAGAATGCACGTAACCCGGGCAAAATTTCCCTCATAGCACACTGTATGGCGTATGCCCGTCTTCATTAGCCCAGTATAGGAGCAGAACAGTAGGACGTTAAACCCCATTTCATTTCATTTCATTTCTCTTTCGTCTAACATAAACTTATTTTCTTTTTGCCAGTTACTTATTGATTTTAGTTTAATTTTCTTTTTGCCAGTTAGTTATTGATTTTAGTGTATTATATATAGATTCTAATTCTATTGAATTGAATCTGATCAAGTGTCTTTGTTTATATATTTGTAAAATTATTATTAATATTGTTAGATACATTTTGGTTTCGTTGATGTAGTTGATTGTTTTCAATAAAGCTTTCTTTAACTGGTGAACCTTACTCGGTAAGCCACCGTGATTCCTATATAAGAATAAGGAATAAATAAAACTTACATCGTATGGTGATTTCATTTTTATCTACATTTATCAACATTATTATTAATATTGTCAGATACACTTTGTTTTCTTACTATGGACGTAACCTGACTGTATCCAAGAAAGCCAACTCAATGAACCAACGAGGCCCGGATATAAGAATAAGGAATAAATTATACTTACGTTTTGCCATGATGATCGTTTAAAAGAACTATGGTGCCATTGGTTTGAATAATCCTTGGTTTATTTGCGTCCTTGTAAAACCAGCAAATACAACTTTTGCTTGAATTTGAATTCAGGCGATGTAATCCCATAATTTTCACTCGATGATTCTCTGGTTCCGCAAATGCAGAAAAAACAAATGAATTGTTCATATTATCAACAATTTGCCATGTATCACTATTTTCAGGCCAGGTGAGGTTAACGGCGCATTGTTTCTCTGGCACAACCTTCCTTTGTTTTTCGTTGTCAAATTGCGATATTGCTTTTTTGACGACAACCTGTTTTGTATACGTTTGTTTTGAGCTTGTCCTTGTCTCTGGTATTCGTTCGGAATATTTTGTTCCAATTTTCCCGTTCGACATTTTCGGCTGAAAAGTTATACTTCCACCATTAAAGTTTTGGTATGTATAAAGTATTAAAAGAACAAATGGCAGGCATATCAAATATAAAGCCGATTTCAATCTGGGTTTCATTTTCCTCAAACATTCACTCTACACGCCGAAAAGTATTATTAATGCGAATCGATTACATTTTTCGGGGGCTTAAAAGTCACATGGTTTGGCCGAATTGTTAGCGCGTGCGCGTTGCATCATAAGCTCTGTCATTGAGTCAGGAACTTGTTAAAACGTAATGTGAAATAAACTCAGTGATTGTTTTCCATATGAATTGTGTTTAATTATTATACATTCAATTACTAAATGTCGTAGAAGGATTACATAATATTAAGCAGCTGTGGTTTCTAGCTGTGAGTTGAGATACAATTAGTCCCGCTGATGTATGTAAATGATCAAGTTATATAATCATGTATAGTGGTCCAATAATTTATCACACATTAATTGTTATGTAGTCTGTCGTATAGGCTTATCGTGAGATAATCGGATTTCATGATATCATTTATGCATGTACGATTATAGTTAATTGGATTACTGCAATGAACTCTATTAGTAAAAAATGTTCATAACAAAACACAACAACACTACTTCTCTATTATTTAATGGATCATAATCCACCTAATTAACACCCATTTATTTATATTTGTTTCATGTTTCTTATCTTCTATATTTCTTTAATCACCCGTCTCCAGTCCGAAAAGTTGTCAAGTAAGTCCGAACCGTCGTCAAACTGAGTCCGAATGGACGTTTGTGTTGAGTCTGAAATGGACGCGGGGCCGAAATGTCGTGCTACCACCAATATTGGCAATATGTTGGAAATAAAAGATGTATTTTTATTGACCCATTAAAATTTTTAAAGGCTAAAAAAAAAAAAAAAAAAAAATCAACTTAGGTCACATTCCTAATGACAGACCTTTTTTACCTGTATTTGGATATTTGGAGACATAAGTTTATGTCAATTCCCATATCCACATTGGAGCTTATTTACTATTAAGCATTGAACCAATAATTCTTTTATTAATTGTCTGCTGTGAAGCCTGTGTTTTATGTTGATTATTGTTTACCAAAAGAATATATAGTAATATTAACAATCAACACAAGAGTCCTGTCTTCATTTCATGACAGGCCCGTAACTCACCCCCCCCCCCCCCCCGTCAATTTTACAGCTCCCCCTGAGAACACTTCCCAACACCCTCGTTGCTCTGAGGTAGTTACGTCTCTGTTTCATCATCAACGAGAAATCCAGAAAATACACAAGAAGTGCACGTGATTTGTACATTAGGTCATGTGATACTATGTTACACATTTACTGATCTAAATATTTTCAAAACCGCATTTCTATTATGACTTTCTGGAAGATTAATCCATATCTATTTGGATCATTCACAGTGTCTGACCCTCCGTCGTGCATGCACCCATCAAAAAACAAACCAAACATATATAAAGCTACGGGGTTCTGGGTGACCGAGACTAATATAAAATGAATGAAATGAAATGGGGTTTAACGTCCTATTGTTCATCTCCGAACTGGGTTAATGAAGACGGACATACGCCATACAGTATGCTATGAGGGAAATTTTGCCCGGACAGCGGCACTACGACCTACTCTTATATCGAATTCCAACTGTCAGGGGATCTTTTACGTGCACGCCTATGTGTACACGGGACCTCGGTTTTTCGTCCCATCCGAACGACTAGACAGCTGTCTTTGTCTGGCCCTCCGTCCTGCATCACTGACAAGATGGACTTTCTCGGCCGAGACTAATATAAAGATAATATAATAATAATCCATTTCGACAACGGTTCACTTCCTACTACTCTTGGGTAAAAACTTATATATTAAAATCTGTACACGGCAAAGCGATCCAATTTAGTGGATGTCAAATGGCCGTCAAGTGTTACCATGCCAACGAATACAATCAAGAATCTGCTTCAAAGGTGCACTTGGATCATGGATCACTTGGCTTTTCAGCCCTCCAGTTGTTAAGTTATTGCACTGCAATAAAGTTACGTGATTGTTTTTTTAATACTCATTTACACTAAATAGGAAATAATTTTTACCTTACAAATACGTCAAACATCTTTATTTTTTTTTCTAATACATAAAAAAATGTTTTAGAATTTAATTTGTCGAAGGAATAGGCCTAACTAGACACAGCTGCTTCAAATAGGCCTAACTAGACACAGCTGCTTTTTGGGCAGACGGATAAAGTGAAAACAAAAATTATTATTTCATCTATTTGACAAAATAAAGTGCCCGAAATCTAATAAAAAAACTAACGCTAATATTACTTTTCTTTTAATTAAATACCACGAATTTGTACTGAATTGACTATGGAATAAAACATTTTGTCTAGAACAAGTTTGTGCAACACTTTCTGGGCATAGATTATTAATATAACTTTGGTGAATGCAGCTGCAACTGTCTGATTGGATGATTGGAATTCAGATCGGGGTAGAGTGGGATTTCATTTGCAAAAAAAGATTGGAAATTTTCATAGTTGCTTAACTTATGGCTCCAGAATAGCAGGAAAACGCATTTGCGGCTTGTTTTTATTTTTAAATGTTCTCGGGGAACGTGATGCCCCCATACCCTGAGACCACCGATTGGTTGTTTGGGATCCAGGCCAGCCACCTAGGGCAAGGTATACTGGGCCACATTGCTGAAGTTGTTGTATTCCAGGTTGGAATAGCAGGAAAACGCGTTTGCGCCGTCAAACTTAGGCTACCAATTATCGTTCTATAACCCGAAATCTTTTCGGTCATTTCAGGTTTTGCCCCACTCCCACACTGATCAGCAATGAATATTCGCTAGGCCGCGACAATCACTGATAAGGATGACATCGATGCGACTTAATGAGCCACAAATATTAACTTTTTTCCTCATACAAATTAAATTCTAAAACATTTTTTTTATGTATTAGAAACATAAATAAAGACGTTTGACGTATTTGTAAGGTAAAAATTATTTCCTATTTAGTGTAAAGTCGATCCAAATAGAAATCGAAAGTTGTCGATAATCATAATGATAGCTATGTTTCCCCATACAATCTTGTCAGATTCACAAGGCTACATAGCAATTTTTCAAAGCACCGATTTCAGATTTTTAAAGCATGGATTTTTTATCCAGAGGCACGTTCGTTGTCTGTAGGCACGTTAAAAAAGCTAAATCGCTATTCTTTGGCACGTAGAAACGGACACAAATGGGTCGCAACGCATATAATAATGCTATATGAATGTATATAAACTGATTTACATTCAATCGTTTCACTGTAATTTCTAATCAGTTATGTTCGGTGAAAAACGCTAAGAATCTGAAATGAATGACAGCCATGGCGTCCGGTTATTCCAGTCTACGCCGGTAGTATTCTTCTTTTATGGGGTATTTTTAGCTTCCTTGATCTTGTCGCTTCACACAACTGGCGCTCGAAAGCATTCTGGCACACGTATTGAAGATATATAATCCATCAAAAAACGTTAGGTGGACTATATTTCCATGTCAAGTCTTAAAAATGGGGTTTGACTGTCTGACTACCGTACAAAACTTTCCGAGAATTAACTCATTGATATTGAAATAATTGAAGTGTTGCTAAGTGTTAGTGTTGAAATGAAATGTGGTTTAACATCCTACATCTCCGAGTGCTGAGGCGAATTTTGCCCAAACAGCGACAATACCACCTACTCTTATTGTCAATGGTTCTTTTATGTACACGCCAATACAATATGTACACAGTACCTCATTTTCTCAGGTACTAACTTCGTCAATAGTGAGGTAACATTGGCTTAGTATTGGGTGGTACTGGATAGTATTGGGTGGTACTGGATAGTATTGGGTGGTACTGGGTAGTATTGGGTGGTACTGGGTAGTATTGGGTTGTACTGGGTGTTAGTATTGGGTGCGACTGGGTGGTAGTATTGGGCGCGACTGTGTGGCACTGGGTAGTATACAATAAATCATCCTGCAATCCCTCCACACCCATCTATGACTTTGATTAAGAATCCAAACAGAACTGTGACATATTTTACACAACTGAGATTGGTTTCCATTTGGACAATCAACCTACAACTTAAACATTTCAAAACTAAAACCTCTCCACCTATCCGAGATGAAAACAAAAACAGAACAACCCCTAACTATTCTAATCTAGTTTTAACTTTTATATTTCAAGTCATCAACTTTTCACAAAATCATGTACAAAATATATAATGAATAGTTTACATAATGATGTTGATATATTTACAATGTTCAATAACATAATGTTAAACTATGATCTTTTCTCTAACTATATTAAAGATACATTATGTAAGAGCCTAATCTTCCTATCACCATAGCTAGCAGGGGGGGGGAGGGGCAACTCCCCGCCCCCGGTCGCTGCTAAACTGCTCCCCCTCCCCTCCCCGACTAGCTACGGGCCTGCAAGCCTATATTCAACACCCTAGGCCCCCGTACGTCGTAGATTTAAACTCCCCGCCCCCGGTCGCTGCTAAACTGCTCCCCCTCCCTCCCCCCAACTAGCTACGGGCCTGCAAGCCTATAATCAACACCCTAGGCCCTCGTACGTCGTAGATTTAAACTCCCCGCCCCCGGTCGCTGCTAAACTGCTCCCCCTCCCTCCCCCCGACTAGCTACGGGCCTGCAAGCCTATAATCAACACCCTAGGCCCTCGTACGTCGTAGATTTAAACTCCCCGCCCCCGGTCGCTGCTAAACTGCTCCCCCTCCCTCCCCCCGACTAGCTACGGGCCTGCAAGCCTATAATCAACACCCTAGGCCCTCGTACGTCGTAGATTTAAATATGATTGCCATTTAATTAAAAAAATGGAGAAGCGAGGCTGAGTCTTGATTAACAAGTAACGTTGTTATGATATTAAACAATCTATGCCACGTCCTGTCAAAACTTCAACAGTCATAACTTTGCTCAGAATAAGGTATATTCAATACATTAATTTTGAATTATCTATTTTGGAACTATTATAGCAAGAATTATTATTATTATTACACATTTCTATAGCACAGAACTGTCAAATAAATGTGCTCATGTGCACTTTACAAAAGCTATATAGAGTAAGACAATATTATATTTACATAATGACATGAGATAATAAAAAGCATGCTTGATAAAATATATAAATAAATTTATCTAAATCTTACATAATGCATCTTTAATTGTTGGAATACACCATCTATTTATGACTTTAGTTGAAATAGTCAACACTTTGACTACAAAATGAAAATGAAACAGGGTTTAATGTCCTACTCGACTCCAACTGGGCTAATGAAGACCTGACGGGCATACGTCATACAGTGTGCTATGAGGGAAATTTTGCCCGGGGCAGCGAGACTATGGCCTCCTCTTATATCGAATTACAACTGCAAAGGGATCTTTCACATGCACGCCAATGTATACACGGAACCTTGGTTTGTTAGTTCCTCCTTCCTGTACCACTGATAAGGGGAAACCATGTCAGAAAACTTTCTTGGTCAATGCAGTACTTTCAAGATCAGACAGTCGAGTTTAGATACAAGTTTAAATACATCATAAAGATAATAACGGAATTTCAAATAATTTAAATGATATTTGAAAACAAGCATGTAGAGATAAAATATACGAATTCAAAAAGAAATACAGAAGAAGCCTACTTCAGCCAAAATTAAACTGGCGCATTTGGTTCACAGATTAACATGTTGTCAAAATTTATTCATTATTAAATGCTTACTTAGTTACGGTTGTTTCAATGGCATTTAATAAGTGAAATGGAAATACATGGGACACAATTTTATGGAATACAATTAGGGTTTATTACTGAGCCGTTTTGACTAATATTAAAACAATATAAGGTAAGATTTCGATAAAGAGCTGACAGTTCTCGCTATTTAATAGATACTCAAAAGAGAATATGCTGATAATTTCGCACTTCAAGCTCTAAGCTGTCTGGTCTACCCTGGCTTGTGGTCATGGTTTTCATCCCTTGGAGATAGGATTGCCTTCTCAACCTTTTAGGTTTACCATGGATACTAGGGTTTCACCCCCACAGGAAACATCCCTGCACGTGCGCTAAGATAATAAAAATAAGGCAACATGTCTGTGATATTACCCTTGTTGGATGTTGACGTAAAACACCAAGAAGAGAGAGAGAAATGGGGTTTAATGTCCACTCGACACAATCTAGGTCATTTAGGGACTAACATATGCTTCAATTTTATTTCAATAATTCGCTTACGCGTAGGGGTCTTTAGCCATGGGAGGAAACCGGAGGACCTGGAAAAAACCCACGAGGTTGAACAGGCGACCCTACTCCTTGTCACGTACAACCATGGAATCGAAACCACGGCAGTTGACTCAATGGCAGACCTTATGATACAACATGCACGCGCTAACCATTCGGCCATCCAACCTCCCTGATAAAGACGTAAGTGGAAACATCGCTCAGTATTAACAAGTCATAATAATCCATAGAATTGTGTCTTGTGTTAAGTCTGGTTATCATTGACTATAAAGAGCCTGCAGTCTCTGATACCCAGATTTTAAAAGTTCTATCAAAGGAGCAAGTAGCCATGTGTTTTAAATCTGGTGATATATCTAGTCCCATTATCTTGCCTTCGTGTCCTGCTAATGTTCTTAATGGTGTCCAAGTTGGTTGTGCCCAAATCTGAAAAAAAAGATAATATTAAGTACATGTATAATTACATGTTTATGTGGCTGTTTGGATTGGCAACACAATCACACAGCGGGAAATACAAGCTCAAATTATGCTTATCGTTGTTACCTAACTCAAACTGGCACTCCATATAGAATGAATGTAATAAACTATAACCCATACTTATGGAAGAACAATTACTTATTTATTTACGCCACGTTTCGAAGAGTATTCTCTCAATGTTGAATGTTATAGTAATAAACTATAACACATACTTATGGAAGAACAATTACTGATTTATTTAGGCGATGTTTCGAAGAGTATTCTCTCGAAATGTCGCCTAAATAAATCAGTAATTGTTCTTCCATAAGTATGTGTTATAGTTTATTGCTCTTTCCAGTTACTAAATGCCTCTAAAAGATCATTAGAATGAATGTATTTACCATATCGGAAAATATGAGCTCAAATTATGCTTATCAATGTTACCTAACCCAATAGTTATCTTTTTTGGTAGAAATCATATTTCACCAGTTTACACGTCTTGGATTTGCCAAGAGTTGACTTGTTATTTGTCCATAATCATAATAAATAATCTTCACTGGCTCCGAGTGCGTGAGAGAATTAATTTTAAAATTTTAACTCTGACATACAAAACGTTACATAAAACAGCACCAAGATATCTTCAGAATCTCTTGACACACTACCAAGCAAAAAGGTCACTGAGATCCGAGAATAAATTATTGTTAGATGTACAGATTTATAAGATGAAGAAATTTGGTTCAAGGACGTTTCAGTATAATGCGTCAATTCTATGGAATTCGCTACCACCTTCCATTCGAAAATGTGAAACATTGTCTATCTTCAAATCAAGTGTGAAAACCTGGCTGTTTAGTCACTATAATTAACCCACGTGAACACTTTCATGCGCCTAGAGCATTCGGCAATGTGGTATTCGATGACTTCTGGGACTAACATATGGTTCAATTTTATTTCAATGATTCACTTGCGTGTAGGAGTATTTAGCAGTGGGAGGAAATTGGAGAACTCAGAGAAAACCCACATGGTTGGACTGGTGACCCTACTCCTTGTCACGTACAAGTGGGGAATCGAAACCATGCCACTTTACTCAATGACAGATCTTTTGATACAACGTGCACGCGCTAACCATTTGATCACCCAACCCCCCTGTTATTAAATGACAAAAGGGGTGGATGTTGTGCGCATGACAGAGTATATCTACCTTTAATTGAACATCAGGTACCACTTTCCACTATGGAATTTTTCTCACCTAGGACTAGTGAGACGACTCGCTGTAATGACTCAATTCTGTCAAATTTGTTCATTGTATTTTGACTACTAGTTAGAATCAATTGTGCTTGGTTTTGCCAGAACAATATGGTTGATTGTGTTAAAGATACATTATGTAAGATTTAGATAAAGAACTAGCCATTCTTGTTATAATAGTTCGAAAAGTAGATGATGTAAAATGAATAATTTAAAAATTTCATTCAAATTACTCTATTGCAAGCGAAGATATTAGCCTTTGAAGGTTTGACAGACGTGTGCAATAATTTCAACCACTGTACTGGTTGATCGAAGCTAAGTCTTGGTCCTCCATATTTGATTAAATCAAAGTATCGGTGAACCATTCTAATCTATTTAATATCGGAGAAATCTGATGCCATCGAGAGTTGATTAAGGCCTGGATCAGTTAATTAATGTCTAATTAATACTTTAGAAAACATTTCAGTCCTAAAGAAAGACCTGCAATAGGCAGATTTAGCTCTTGTATAGTCAATGTTTAATAAAACAAATTGCTATATTTAATATTACCTTTGCTGTACCGTCGTAGGAAGCTGTTACTAAATAATTTCCATGATCAGCTGCAAGAAACAGAATCATATACTTGATAAATAATTTCTGATAAGATTTATGTTGACCTTTTTATTAAGTTAGCCCCAGTCAATTACAAAACCTTACCACCACAGGTGATGTGCTTTCATTCTATCATTAGAATAGTCTAGAATAACCAGGGGTAAGCTGGTGACTATATTGAATTGTTTGTTGTCAACACAATGCCAATCAGACAAGCGGTACATGAAAATATTTTAAACAATGAAATATTATTAATAGACGTGTCATTCTATCATTCCTGCAGATATTCTCCATCAACATCCAGCTACATATCGTATTCTATTGGCTGATTTTAGACTTTTATCCAATTTAAACGTGCATTACATTAGCATTCAATATGTTTGGTGAATAATTATGGCAGCCCTAGTTTACCATGGAAATGCTCAAAGCTCTAAGGATAAGGTCACTATACTCAAACATATGCAGTTTTAAAAATAAACAAAAACTGAAAGTACAGTAGTTTATGAATCTCAATATTTAGGAGAGTGATTTAGCTAATTTGCTTGTGTATTTAATGACTCCCCCGAAGATAAGTCAAGGCATGTCAGGAGGCACAAGAGCGAAATCACGCCTTAATTAAACGTGAAGTACTGGTCATACCCATGACAGGATATGCTTACTGCTTCTAGATGCCACTTCTCATATGACTATAAGTAGTGATGAATATCATCTATAAGGCAGTATATGCTTACTGGTTCTAGAAAACTGTTTACAAATGAAATGAAATGCGGTTTAACGTCCTACTGTTCTGCTCCGAACTGGGCTAATGAAGAAGGGCATACGCCATACAGTGTGCTATGAGGGAAATTTTGCCTGGACGTCTAGACAACTGTCCTTGTCAGGCCCTCCGTCCTGCATCACTGACATGGGAAACCCCGCCGGAAAATCTGGATGAACTTTCTCGGCCAATGCAGAGATCGAACACCCGACCTCCAGGCTAGCGAGCCAGCGTCTTAGCCACTGTGATCCCCCAAACCTGATTACAAGTATAAGTAGTGATGGGTATCATCCATAAGGCAGGATATGCTTACTAGTTCTAGAAATTATTAATCAGTTTACATAAGTTAGTACTTTTGTATTAATAAATAACTCACGTTGAAATTTAACACAGGAAATAAGATTAGTATGAGCTGGAATAGTATAAACACATTTTCTCTGTCGTAGATCCCAAACTTTAGCCATATTATCTTCACTGCCGGTCGCTAGATGATACCTGTCGATATAGAGAGAGAGCTTCAAGTTAACATAACAATTTACATGAAATGAAAGAACATAAAGTTAAACATACATTATGCAAGAGCTAAATCTGTTTATTGCAGGTCTTTCTTTAGGCCTGAAATGTTATCTAAATTATTAATTAGACATTAATTAACTTATCCAGACCATAATCAACTCTCGATATCATCGCTAGCCTGCGATATTTACTGGATTAGAATCCTATATGCAAGAGCTAAATCTACCTATTGCAGGTATTTCTTTAGGCCTGAAATATTATCTCAATTATTAATTAGACATTAATTAACTTATCCAGACCATAATCAACTCTCGATGTCATCGCTAGTCTGTGATCTTTGGTGGATTGTGAGCCGATTTACTGCAAAACTTTCCTTCATGATTTAACGATTAAATGGGTAATCGAGACTATGCTGTTTATCGTACAGACTTTAGTAATGATAATCAAGACTAGGCGGAAATTCGATCGCTTTGTTCTCGGTTCATAGTGGATCAATTTGCATGAAATTTTCAGCAAATTGCCTTTACATTATCTAGTTTTTAACTATTATAGTGAGAACTGCCAACTCGTTATCGAATCTCCCATAATGTATTATTAATATAAAAAATATGCATGAAATGAAATAGGGTTTAAAAACATTCTACATATTTGTTCAAACTGGGCTAATGAAAATGAGGTAATGCAATGTTTTGTGCAACAAGGGAAATTTTTCCTGGACAGCGGCACTAAGGCTTACTCTTATTTTGAATTCCAACTGTCAAGGCCTATTTCACGGGACCTCAGTTTTTTGTCTTATCATCAACAATATACTATACATAGCGACAATATACTATACATAGCAACATTATACTATACATAGCAACATTATACTATACATAGCAACATTATACTAACATTATACTATACATAGCAACATTATACTATACATAGCAACATTATACTATACATAGCAACAATATACTATACATAGCAACATTATACTATACACATTATACTATACATAGCAACATTATACTATACATAGCAACATTATACTATACATAGCAACAATATACTATACATAGCAACAATATACTATACATAGCAACATTATACTATACATAGCAACATTATACTATACATAGCAACAATATACTATACATAGCAACATTATACTATACATAGCAACATTATACTATACATAGCAACATTATACTATACATAGCAACAATATACTATACATAGCAACAATATATTATATATAAGCCCACTCAGACTGAAAAGATTAAATGACTGCAGTTTCGATCAACCACTGCAAAACCCTACATTCCATTTCTCCATTTAACCCAAATAGCAATATCATATACTCTATAATATAATGGATGTACTCACCCATCAGGACTAAAGTCAACAGATAAAATAGACTTTAAATGACCTTCTAAAAACATGATACATCTACCAGATCGTAAATCCCATACACGACAATATGCATCTAATCCACTGTAAGATTCAAATCACTCCATTATATATACGCAAGTACATCAACACAAAATTTTATACTTAACAGTGAGAGAGATATGGGGATTAACGTCCACTTGATGCAAACTAGGTCATTTCGGGACTAACACATGGTTCAATTTTATTTCAATAATTTGCTTGTTTGTAGGGGTCTTTAGCAGTGGGAGGAAACCCGAGGACCCGGAGAAAACCCACAAGGTTGGACAGGTGACACTACCCACAACCAAATCAGAGGAAGAGTATTTAAATTCATGACAACACAGGAAAGAGCAAAGGGAATTACCCACAACCAAGTCAGCAGGACAGAACACAGCAAAGGGAATTCCCCACAACCGAGTCAGTAGGAAGTGTATTTAAATTTGTGACAACTCAGGGCAGAGCAAAGGGAATTCTCCACAGCACAGGACAGAGCCATTGAGGCGTCCCTAGATAGCATCACCACATATTTACATTCCTGCTATAAAATGAAATTTACCATTTTATATTTTATCCAAATGAAAATGGTCTAAGCATTTTTTTTACTCCTGCTCTCCCCAAACCACCCATCTCAATAACTAGAGAACATTTACGTAACCACCATACATCATGTCTTTTGTACACCAATCTGATTAAAATACAGTTCTATATTTCAAATCACTTTTTTATACTTTCGATGGCCTCGACTACATGAAGATCTGGCCGGTTGTAGTGGAGGGTCGCGTTATGGGTCATATGAGCGGCTTTTGACGCTATGACGTCAGACATTTGATTAACCAATCAGCGTTGATGTATCTAGTGGGTTACACACAGTTCCGTGCACCTAATGCCAAAAACTTGCTGGAACAGACTGTTTCATTGGCTAATCCCTCACATCATCCAGAACGTGGGTTATATAACATGTAAAACAAAATTTTGAACCTATAAAAAACCAAACGAAATAGGATCTGTGTTTTAATCAGATTGTTTGTACACCGTTGTTTATTTTGACTCCCAGATTATGAGATATTTACCATGTGGCTGCGAGAGCACCATCAATCTGGAATGATATATCATAAACTGGTTTACTGTGGCCTTCTTGATGTAGAACTTCATCTTGTGCTTCAAGATCCCATAATCTCCAGGAATTATCAAAACTAAACATAGAAATATAACAATGGTGTCACAATAGATGTATCAAAATGGAATATTTAATTATTAAATAACTATAGTACTAAGATTTCATTTCTAAGGCCAGTATGCAAATAGATTATATCATAAGTTGTATTATGTAACTAAGGCCAACATGCAAATAGAATATCATATAAGTAGTATTACGTAACTAGGGCCAATGTAACTAAGGCCAGTATGCAAATAGAACATCATAAGTTGTATTACACAACTAAGGCTAGTATGCAAATTGAACATCATAAGTTGTATTACACAACTAAGGCCAATATGCAAATAGAATATCATAAGTTGTATTAAGTAACTAAGGCCAATATGCAAATAGAATACCATAAGTTGTATCATGTAACTAAGGCCAGTATGCAAATAGAATATCATAAGTTGTATCATGTAACTAAGGCCAGTATGCAAATAGAATATCATAAGTTGTATTACGTAACTAAGCCAGTATGCAAATAGAATATCATAAGTTGTATCATGTAACTAAGGCCAGTATGCAAATAGAATATCATAAGTTGTATTACGTAACTAAGCCAGTATGCAAATAGAATATCATAAGTTGTGTTACATCATTAAGGCCAGTAAGCAAACAGAATATCACAAGTTGTATTATGTAACTAAGGGCAAACCAATTTAATTTTTAGAAATTAATATGCACTGGAGTCTTCTGAACCATGTTTTATCTAAAATTGTAAAAGTAAAAAATTTGGAACTAAACGCTTTTCAGGAGAGCAACCAAATACTTTTTGACAAAAGAGGAAGAAAAAACTTTAATTGCTGTTTCTGGATGAGCAATAATTCGAATTGGTGGGAGTCTAAAGAATGTCTTAATGTATGTGCGATTTATATTGCTTGGGAGGAAGCAAGAGAACCTGGAGAAAACCCACGATGGTTAGACGGATGACTCTACTCCGTGTCACATACACGTGTGGGTTCGAAAACACCCCGTCTGACTGAATGACAGACCTTATGATCTAAAACATATGCATCCAAGCCCCTTGTTTCTATAAGATAAACTGTCTTACCAACATGTTCCTAGAAAACGACCTGATGGATGGTAGGCTAATCTGGATACACGGAATGGTGCGTGTCCTTCTATATCAGCTATAGGCTCATCACTGAAATAAATGTTTATTCAATGAAAATTATCAATTTTGAATACATTTTATCAGACATTAAGCTATGAAAAATTAGATAGTAACACCCCCCACCCACACACCACCACCACCACCAAAATGTAATGCATACCACACAAATTAAGAATTAAATTAAATCTTAACTGAAAATCAACACTTGACTGAACAAAAGCAGGGTTGTATTCACTGTAACCCGGGTATCATTTAATCTTGTGCATCCAGCACAAATTTCTTTCATATTTGTTTAATATCAAATTTTTGTTTAAAACCACCAAAAGTCATCTAATTTGCACTTGTGTCCAGTTTGAAGCTGAAAAAATTCAATTTTGATAACAACTGTCCTATTTACAATTTAATTTCTCGATCATTGTTAAAAAATAAACAACCCAATTAATTATTGATGTACATTGGTCAGGAAATTGAATACTTGTAAATTAGACACTCATTATCAAAACTAATCAATCAGCTTTAACCTGGACACAAATACAAATTAGATGATTTTCAATTATTTTAAATAATATTTATGAAATTAAAATAAAGATTTGATATTGAATGAATATGAAAGAAATTAGTGCTAGATACACAAGATTAAATGATACCTGGGTTACAGTGATTGTTGAAACATATCTAACATACTTTTATCTCATCTGAAGAACACCACTGACATATGACCATTCATATTATACTGTATTTGACTAAATCAGCATGTGTGCTTGATATTTATGGAATATTGTTCATGGGATAGATAAGGGGGGAGGGGGGTGGGGAGTAGAAATGAGGTTTAACGTCACATATGGTTCAATTTTATTTCAATAATTTGCTTGTGCATAGGGGTCTTTAGCAGTGGGAGGAAACCTGAGGACCAAGAGAAAACCCACGAGGTGGGACAGGCGACCCTACTCCTTGTCACATACAACCCGGGAATGAAATTTACCTGACTAGATTTCATAGTTTAACTGACTGGATTCCACAGTTTAACTGACTGGATTCCATAGTTTAACGGACTGGATTCCATAGTTTAATGGACAGGATTCCATAGTTTAACTGACTGGATTCCATAGTTTAACTGACTGGATTCCATAGTTTACCTGACTGGATTCCATAGTTTAACTGACTGGATTCCACAGATTACCTGACTGGATTCCATAGTTTACCTGACTAGATTCCATAGTTTAACTGAATCTATTCCATAGTTTAACTCTATTTTAACTTACCTAACTAGATTCCATAGTTTAACTGTGCCATCTTGTCCACACGATGCCATACAACAGGCATTATCATCTAATGATAGTGTAGCTTGTGGATGAAATACAATAGCTCCTACATTACAACTATGACCTGTAAAAGACATAAATATACATAGAATTATTATTATTATTATTACAGCATTTATCGTGTTCCCTTTCATTTAACATGTTCAGGGGCATTTTACAAAGTGACAATATGATCATAACTAAACAACAAGATTATGGACATGTTAACGATTGTATACAGTTATCGTGCGTCCTTTCATTTAACATGTTCAGGGGCACGTTACAAAGCGACAATGTGATCATAAATAAACAACAAGATTATGGACATGTTAACAATTGTATACATTTAACATGTTCAGGGGCACGTTACAAAGCGACAATGTGATCATCAAGAAACAACTAGATTATGGACACGTTAACGATTGTATACAGAGTCAGTTAAAAGCCTGATTAAAATAAATGCGTTTTAAGTTGTTATTTTTTTTAAGAATATAGAGATGTACAACATCTTAAACTAAATGGAGTTTAATGAACACAATACTTTTATCATTTTGAAATAAAATGAAATGGGGTTTAACGGCCTACCAAATCTGCTCCGACTGGGCTAACGGAGACAGGGAAATGGGGTTTAATGTCTCATGAGACGTTTATCATTTTGAGACTAACATTTAGTATTTATCATTTCAACAGATAAATAAAATGGGGTTTAACGTCCGACACCGACTGGGCTAATGGGGTTTAACTTCCCACACCGACTGGGCTAATGGGGTTTAACTTTCCACACCGACTGGGCTAATGGGGTTTAACTTTCCACACCGACTGGGCTAATGGGGTTTAACTTTCCACACCGACTGGGCTAATGGGGTTTAACTTTCCACACCAACTGGGCTAATGGGGTTTAACTTCCCACACTGACTGGGCTAATGGGGTTTAATGTCCGACACCCACTGGGCTAATGGAGTTTAACGCCTTACACCCACTGGGCTAATGAAGACGGGAGAGAAAGAGAGAAATGGGGTTTAACATCCACTCAACACAAACTAGGTCATTTCGGGACTAACATATGGTTCAATTTTATTTCAATGATTCGCTTGCGTATAGGGGTCTTTAGCAGTGGGGGGGAAACTAGAGGACCCGGAGAAAACTCACGAGGTTGGATAATGAAGACGGACATATGACATACAGTATGCTGTGAGGGAAATTTTGCCCTAACAATAGCGCTACAGCTTATTCTTATTTCGGTTCTTTTACGTGCACACCAATGTTTAGACCTCAGTCTTTCATCAGAATGACTAGACACTGTCCTTGTCATGGTCTTCGTCCTGCACCACTGACAAGGGGAAGCCACACCACAAAAAACTGAAGAAAATTCTCGGCCAGCACTGGCAGTGAAAGCTAGAACCTCCAGGTTAGCGAGCCACCACCTTATTCGCTGGGCAACTGTGACTCCCTCATTCTGATTTAAACACAGATCCTATTTCGTTTCGTTTATTATAGTTCAAAAGTCCGTTTTATGTGTCTGTACAATACAAGGATCTGGAAGAGTTGTTAATATAACCCGCGTTCTGCATGGCATGAGGGATTACCCAATGAAACCATCTGTTATGGCGACTTCTTGGAACTGTGGGTAAACCACTAGAAATCTCAACGCTGATTGATTAATCAATGTCTGACATCACAGGGTCAAAAGCCGTTCGTACGACCTCTGATGCAACCTTTTACTACAACCGGTCAAATCTTCATGTAGTGTAGGCCATAGAAAGTGTAAAAAAACCGAAATGAATATTATAGATCTGTATTTTAATCAACAGTTACATGATAATAGATCAAATTTAAAACAATTAATCCTAGTTCATTACCTCTCAATTCTCTCACCATTTCACAATCTGGTATTGACCATAATTTACATAAACCAGACCTAAAATAATTCACAATATAAAATACTACAATGACCAAATATAATGGGGTTTAATGTTCTGTTCCTACTGGGCTAATCAAGACAGACATACACCATACAGTATGCTATGATGGAAATTTTACCCGGGCAGCGGCACTATGGCCTACCCTTATATCGAATTCCAACTACCAAGGGATCTTTTACGTGCATGCCAATGTATACATTGGACTTCGTTATTCGGCCCATTCAAATGATTAGACAGCTGTGCTTGTCAGGCCCTCCGTCCTGAACCACCGACAAGGGGAAACCATGAGGGAAAGTCCTGTTGAACTTTCTCGGCCAATGCAGTGAGAGGGAAATGGGGTTTAATGTGAACTCGACACAAACTATGTCATTTCGGGACTAACATATGGTTTAATTTTTTTTATTTCAATTATTCGCTTGCACATAGGAGTCTTTAGCAGTGGGAGGAAACCGGAGGACCCGAGAAAACCCACGAGGTTGGACAGGCGACCCTATTCCTTGTCATGTACAACCGGATATTCAATACCACGCCAATTGACTCAATGACAGGCCTTATGATACAGCGCACACATGCTAACCAAGATTAGGCCTTCTATTCATGATGTATATATTGTTAAATTAATGGTCAACTTACCAAGAGGCCACTGCTAAAAGTTTAGAATCTGGACTGAATTCACAGAAAGACAATGGTCTACTGTCTCCTATCTGACTACAATCATTGGTAACAGACTAAAATAAATAAATCATATCTCATTGTAAATAATAAACTCTGAAAATACAACACATTTAAACGGTTTACCATTTTAACACTTAGTTTTGGAGAAAAAATCTCCCACATTTATTCTGGTAGTTATTTTTTAGGGAATTAGAAACAAAAAAAACATCCATAATATGTTAAAAAAATTCAAAATTAATAAAGGGACATAATCCTAAAATGAACAAGAATACCCTAGAGGACTGAGTCAACAAGATGTCCCTGTATACCAAGTGAAATTTGGTTTCATAACAGATTGAATTGAGTATGTAAGAAACAGAACTAGGATGAAAGGAAGGACAGAGTCTGACAACCCGTTTAATTAATTTTCGTTAAATTTTTTCAAAATGGACAGTATTACATTTCTTTATGTCCCATTCTGATTTTTTTTTTTTTTTTTTTTTATAAACAATATTTTTATTCAGGATGTCTAAATGAGATTGGGGAACAGGCTTAGCCATTCTGATTAAAACACAGATTCTATATAGTTTCTTGTTTTACTTGTCTTTACTACACTAGGATCTGGAAGAGATATTGTATAAGTTGTTGATGGTTGATGCGAGGGATTAGCCAATGAAATTGTTGTGGAGAGTTCTTGTCATGCGGTGCATGGAACTGTGGGTAGACATTTTCAGCGAAGACAAAGCAAAAGTTGTTTTTCCATACGTTGATTGGTTAATCAAATGTATGACGTTATAGGGCCAGACGCGGCTGGTATGACCCCTGACACAATCTCCCACTACAAGCGGTCAGATCTTCATGTAGTGGAGGCCATCGAAGGTATAAAAAACGGAACGAAATATAGATCTGTATTTCAATCAGATTGTTTATGTAATTCTTATAACTTTAACGTGATTTTTTCTCTGTAAATACTGTGTACAAATTGAGCGCAGATATATATTAAACTTCATAATAAACTTTTTTCCCTTACTCGAATTCGTTTATGTAATTCTTGTAATTTCGCATTGAGTTGAGTAGTTGGAATATTTTTCTCTTCTTTTTGTTTACCAACTCTTTCTTTAGCTCTACAATATATAAATAATATAAATACAAACATTAAGTCGTATCTCTACAATATACAAATAATATAAATACAAACATCAAGTCATATCTCTAAAATATACAAATAATATAAATACAAACATTAAGTCGTATCTCTACAATATAAAAATAATATAAATACAAACTTCAAGTCATATCTCTACAATATACAAATAATATAAATACAAACATCAAGTCGTATCTCTTGTCTACTGAGGGGCTATATTTTTTAAATATTCGAGATACATCAAATTATTATCTATACATTTAGAAGAATAAACATCCATCAGAGAAATGAAGTGGAATATAATGTCCTATTTTTCTACACTTATTGGACTAATGAAATGAAATGATTTAACGTCCTACTGTTCTGCTCCGACTGGGCTAATGAAGACGGGCATATGCCATACAGTTTGCTTTGAGGGAAAGTTTGTCATGCTGCGCCACTATGGCCTCTCTTACATCAAATTCCAACTACCAAGGAATCTTTGCATGCACGCCTATGTATACACGGGACCTCGGTTTTCCGTCCCATCCGAACGACTAGACAGCTGTCTTTGTCAGGCCCTCCATCCTGCACCACTGACAAGGGGAAACAACGGCGGAAAATCTTGATTAACTTTCTCAGCCAATGCAGGAATCGAACACGGGACTTCCAGACTAGCGAGCCAGCGTCTTATCCACTTAGCTACCGTGGTTCCCTACTGGACCAATGAAGACTGAAATACACCATTCAGGGAAATTGTTTGGGATAGTGGCATTCCAGCCTACTCATCATCAAATTCAGACATACACAGGACCACATTTTTCATCCCACCCGATTCACTGTGGCTCCAATTGGTAATACAGAGAGAGAGAGAGAAATGGGGTTAAACGTCCACTCGACACAAACTAGGTCATTTCGGGACTAACATATGGTTTAATTTTATTTCAATAATTCGCTTGCGTGTAGGGGTCTTTAGCAATGGGAGGAAACCGGATGACCCTGAGAAAACCCACAAGTTGGACAGGCGACCCTACTCCTTGTCACGTACAACCGGGGATTCGAAACCATGCCAGTCGACTCAATGACAAACTTTAAATTAGTAATACAATACTAACCTGGGTATAGAATAATTTCCTATCCATAATCTGGCTTCTTTTAAACTTTCAGAACCTTCATGATACCATGTTACATTTTCCTTTAGAAAAAAATTCAAGTAATATTTAAACTCTAGAATAGTATCAAACAAAGAGCTTCTTTTTTTTACGGACATGACATAATATTCCCTTTTTTTTTTCTTTTTTTTTTTTAAGATCTTGTATACAGTGGATCAATTGTGTGGAATACACTTCCAAAAAATATCTGAGATTGTAATTTTGTGTCAGTTTTATTTAATCCAAAGTGAAAACTTGGTTATTTAGTCACTATAATTAACAATCCAAAGTGTGAATATTTTCCAGCGCATTCCCATGTGGATTAAATAGTTGTAATGAAATGAAATGGGGTTTAACATCCTACTGTTCTGCTCTGATGGGGCATACGCCATACAGTGTGCTATGAGGGAAATTTTGCCCAGGCAGCGGCACTATGGCCTACTCTTATATTGAATTCCAACTGCCAAGGGATCTTTTATGTGCACGCCTTTGTGTACACGGGACCTCAGTTTATCGTCCCATTCGAACGACTAGACAGCTGTCCTTGTCAGGCCCTCCGTCCTGCACCACTGACAAGGGGAAACCATGTCGGAAAATTCAGATGAACTTTCTCGGCCAATGCAGTGATCGAACACATGACCTCCAGGCTAGTGAGCCAGCGCCTTACCCACTTAGCCACTGGGGCTCCATAGTTGTGTGATACAAATATCATTATTAATATTATCATACCTCTTCTTTCTTCTTGGCTTCAGCAGCTTTTTCCTCCTCTTTTTTCTTCAAGGCATATGCTCCAATTTGTGCTAATAATTGACGTAATCTCTCCCTTCTTTCTGCTGGTCCTTCACCAAACAAACCTTAAAAAGAAGAACGAACCTATTAAATTTTTAAAAAGTTTGACTCTTTCTTAAACAAGGCTGTGGGTTTCAGTGATCTTTGTCATGGAGAGGAGAGAAGAAGAGAATGCAAGTAGTGATTAGACTACACACTGTATTGTGCCACCAGCACCACTGTGTAAGAAACAGTATACACTAAGCATCTCAGTCCTAAACATACAGTATGCAAGAGCTAAATCTGCCTATTGCAGGTCTTTCTTTAGGCTGGAAATGTTATCTAAATTATTAATAAGACATTAATTAACCTATCCAGATCATAATCAACTCTTGATGTCATCGTAAGTTTGCAATAATTACTGGATTTGAATCCAATCTGCTGCTGCTGGATAATCGAGACTACATTCTTTATCGTACCGACTTAAGTAACGATGATCGAGGCTAGGTCTAAAATTCAAAAGCTAAGATCTTGGTTCAGAGTGGATCAATTTGATTGAATTTTTCAACAAGTTCCCTTTACATTATCTAGTTTTTAACTATTATAGTGATAACTGACAGCTCTTTATCTAATCTCCCAGAATGACCCTTTAAGGAAATTATCAGAATTCTCACCAAAATGGCTGAAGACATTTACTTGTTAACTGCGAGAAGATAACGATATATCAATATATAACTTACAATGCTTTATAATCATCACTGATTCATATAAAGCTTAGATTTAATAAAGTATATATAGACAAACTTACAGATTGGATCGCCTAGCTCTCGTAATGTGGCTTTAACTTCAAAATCATCTGTGGATACCTGGATCTGTCTGGCCTACAGTTTCAATTAAAATACATACATCAATCAATAATATCTACTTTAAGAATTTGGCTTTTTAACATAATCTTAGAGAGAGATAGAGATAAAGAGAAATGGGGTTTAACGTCCACTTGACACAAACTGGGTCATTTTGGGACTAACACATGGTTTAATTTTATGTCAATAATTGACTTTCACGAATGGGTTTTTAACAGTGGGGGAAAACAAAGGACCCGGAAATAACACGTCGGATAGGAGACACTAATGGAAATCACACCACTTGACTCAATGACAAACCTTAGGATCTAAAGTGCATGTATTAAAGTATGAGTTCCATCCTGATGTTGGCTGAGACAAATTCTCAGAATTCTTCAGCCTTGTTTCCCATAGTCAGAATGGAGGGTCTGACATGAAAAAGTGACTAGTTGGTCAGATGGAACATAAAAATAAGGTAGTACAGGTATGTATACCAGAGAGAGAGAGAGAGGGAGAGAGAGTTTAACATCCACTCGACACAAACTAGGTCATTTCGGGACTAACATATGGTTTGATTTTATTTCAATAATTCGCTTGCATGTAGGGGGCTTTTGCAATGGGAGGAAACCGGAGGACCTGGAGAAAACCCACAAGGTTGGACAGGCAACCCTACTCCTTGTCACGTACAACTGGGGGTCAACGGGTGAAAAGATATCCAATAACAGTTAATGAGCCAGTGTCATGTAAGGATTAAAATATAAAACTTCAATCAGAATTACCCTCTTTCTCTTTTCAAACACAGCTAAGGCTTCAGCTTGACCTGCATCATCATCTATATCAAAATGACTCTGTTCTGTAAATATATAAACAAGACAAAATGATCATCATAAACAAAAGAAATGAAATGAGTTGGGGTTTAACATCCTACTGTTCTGCTCCTAAATTGGGCTAATGAAGACGGGCATATGCCATACAGTGTGCTATGAGGGAAATTTTGCCTGGGCAGCGGCACTATGACCTACTCTTATATCGAATTCCAACTGCCAAGGGATCTTTTACGTGCACGCCAATGTGTACACAGGACCTCAGTTTTTCGTCCCATACGAACGACTAGACAGCTGTCCTTGTCAGGCCCTCACTCCTGCATCACTGACAAGGGGAAACCACGCCGGAAAATCTGGATTAACTTTCTCGGCCAATGCAGGGATCGAACACCCGACCTCCAGGCTAGCGAACCAGCGTCTTACCCACTTAGCCACCGTGATCCCCATCATAAACAAGAAACCTGCAAGGTACTATAAATATAACTGTATTGTGTTTGATGGTTAAGTTTTTTGAAATTCTAATTTTTTATATTCTGTAAATTGTCTACTAATAGACCTGGGCCCTTATTCACGAAAACTTAAACTAAGATACAATCGAAATTTTAAGAAATACTGCAATTCGATTGGCTGACCAATATGCAAATTGGATATATGCAAATTGATTTTACTGGTCAGCCAATGTCAAGAAATCACTGTAACAGACTGTTTTATTGGCTAATTCCTCACATCAACTAGTACACCTGTTGTATAACAACTCTTCCAGATCCTAGTGTTGTGAAGACAAGTAAAACGAAATTTTGAACTACATGTATAAAAAAACGAAACGAAATAGGATCTGTATTTTAATCAGGATGGAAACAAGATCGAACCCTGGCTATGGACATTTACATAAAATTAATTTGAATACCTCCTTTTCCACCACTCAATTTTAAAAACATAAAATATTCCATTCACCTTGTCATCTTCCAAAATAAGTTAACAGTATTTTTAGGGTAAACTTAGGTATGAAATCCATCAAAATTTAATTGTTTTGTTTTTAGTTTTTTCATATGGTACCGGTACTGCCTGTTTTTCCCACTGACAAAGTGTCATAGCCGTTAATCTAATGTGAGAAAAAAATCCCCTTTTTTGTTTTTACCTGAAGATATATTGCCATCTTCCAAAACAAGTTAACAAAATATTTAGACTAACTTAGGTACATTATGAAATCCATCAAAATTTAATTGTTTTGCTTTTAGTTTTTTCATAGAGTACTGCCTGTTTTTCCCACTGACAAAGAGTCTTAGCCATTAATCGAATGTTGAGAAAAGAAAAATTCCCTTCTTTGTTTTTACCTGAAGATATATTGATATTGCCGGATGCTTTTCCGGCTTCAAGAGCGTCATTAGCTAAAGATCCGCTAGTCTCGGCATTAGCTAATCTTTCCTTCTCCTTTTCTTCAAGACTACCATACTGGATAACCTTATCTTTTTTCACTATCTTTATTCTATCATCCTCATCATCTGACATGTCAGACATCTTGTGCTTCTTTTTCTAAGTTTCCACACCAAGCACTCTATTTTGTATAAATAATAATAGTGTGAGAGAGAGAGAGGGGGGGGGGTCGCTTGCACGTAGGGGTCTTTAGAAGTGGGTGAATCCAGAGAAAACCCATGAGCTTGAACAGGCGACCCTACTCCTCTTAGGTGAGCCTGGGATAAAAAAAATTCAAATCTTTGGAAAGTTGAGAATCTTCAGTCATTTATTGATTTGCCTAGCACAATTACAATAATTTACAATCAAATTTTTTCAAAAATCCCAATTTTGTTTCACCTGCTTATATAAATTTCGTTTTGTCTTACTCTTATATGGCCGAGTTACGTAAATTTGTGCGTTACCCTATATTTAGATTTCAATGGCGTCTGCCAAGCCGTTTAGCAGAAGGGGACGTATTATTAACAGCATGTTGTGTTGCACATTCTGACACTAACAAGGATTCATCAGGACGGTTCCTGAACGTACAGGGCGAGTGTAATGAGACCTACGTTCAGAGTTGAACTGACGATAACTTTGCTTAATAAACTTGGATATAAATCATTTTATTCATATTACATTAAGAGGCATGTTTAGACCCATTTTCATGTTCCAAAGAATAGAGCTAGGATATTATGATATTCTTAATACTTCTTTTCATTTACCTTTACCTGGTAAAACTGTTTTTGCATGCGAATTTAAAAGGTTAGACCATTCATATTTTATTTAATTTTTAATGTCATTAAAGTTCTGTCAGTTGTTTTTACATGTATAACAAAATAAAATCCTTTTATAAGGAGCTGCATTTATTCACTAATATTAGAATTATGTTTATATAAAAGAAAACCAAATGCTCAAATAAAAACCTTTTGTACGAAAGTGCAAAATGCCCCAACGTTTTCCTGGGCTATAGCATATAATATAAAAAAAAAGAATATGTAAGAACTGGAATATAGACAGCCTACAAATGGGTTGAATTGCATTCTAAAACCCGTTGCAAGTTTCTGCGCACTCAAAATATATACGTGTACCTTATTTCGAAGGTCGAACCCTGCGTTTCCTAAAAGATAAAACTACAGTCACTTTTTGGTATAAGTACATGTATTCAAAACGTTTTCATGGACGCTGACATCTTGAATCTCGTTTAATCTCGTATCTTTGTTAAGAACGCGAATGGTTCACGTTTCACTGTCATTTCAATATTTGCTTTGTATATTGCCAGACAAAATGGGTACAGTAAATGGTTGTATTGAACATAAAGTAAATTAAATTACAAATGGTATTGCGAAAGTGATTAATAGTGTTCTGTTTTCCCAAAAAAATGGTGGAGTTAGAAATAAAATGTACGATTCCATGCTTAGTGGCGAATTGAAATATATGAGTTACTCGGGTAAAATACAAGGGAAATAACTACCAGACAAATGAAATTTGGCCGCTTTCCTTAACTTCTGACTTTTATTATCGATATTGTTCAATAGAACGGACACTATTCAAACACAACGATGTTGAGAAATGACCCAACAAGGATTGAGTTAAAAATTGATGATTTGGAGGAATATGAAATTGTGAAAAAGGAGAATTTAGAAGGGCAACAGAAAACGATCGGAGAGAGTGGCAATTCCTTGCATCTGACTGGCGCGGATAGTTTTGGTATTATGTTACCTCTCGGGAACAGACCCGAAACAATTCATGCCAGGATCGGCTACGACCCAAAACCAACGCCACAATCATCTGGGCTGCCGATTCACAGATGATAAAAATAACATGCATAAACTGCCGGCATCAACATCACCATCACCATCACCATCATCATCTTTTGAATGAAATATATTATAAAACAATTATAAATTGACAAACTGGGACAATACAATGATTGTGGTCACTGTGTGTTGAGCTGATAACAATGTATGTGAAAAAATACCCAATCTGCCGGACATTGAAAAGTGTTTAATTAGAGCATTGCTTCCTGGCTATATATGGTGCCCATCAGATAATAATGTATGGTAGGCCTAATGTGCTATAATGTTTAAAATATGAATGAATAATTTCTGCAGGTAAAATGTGTTGTGTTCTTTTTTACAATAATGGACGCACATAACTGGCCTCTGTTTAAGCTAATAAAATAATATGTACAAATAACCAAATCTACAAATGATTATTGTTTCTATTTAACAGTCATAATTACTATAAGCTTGGGGAGTGGGGGGGGGGATGGCTGAATGGTTAGCATGTGCGCATTGTATCATAAGGTCTGTCATTGAGTCAACTGGCATGGTTTCGATTCCCCTGATGTACGTGACAAGGAGGGTCGCCTGTCCAACCTCGTGGGTTTTCTCTGGGTTCTCCGGTTTCCTCCCACTGCTAAAGAGCCCAACGTTCAAGCGAATTATTAAAATAAGATATTTATGAACCCCCAAATTAAAGCACATAGGTTGCACATGAGGATTTGGGCACCCATGAATTGTTGACATCGATCCCATGCCAGTTTTGTTCGTAGGTAGGATCATTTATCAACAATTTACTATTACATCAAATATTCAAAATACACAATTTATCATTTATCAACAATTTACTATTACATCAAATTTTCAAAATACACAATTTATCATTACATCAAATATTCAAAATACACAATTGACTATTACATCAAATATTCAAAATACACAATTTATCATTTATCAACAATTTATCATTACATCAAATTTTCAAAATACACAATTTATCATTACATCAAATATTCAAAATAGGCCTACACAATTTATCATAATACATCAAATATTCAAAATACACAATTTATCATTACATCAAAATACACAATTTATCATTATAGGCCTACACAATTTATCATTACATCAAAATACGTGGGGGGGTTGGATGGCTGAATGGTTAGCACGTGTGCGCTGTACCATAAAGTCTGTCATTGAGTCAACTGGCGTGGTTTTGAATCCCCGGTTGTAGGCGACAAGGAGTAGGGTCGCCTGTCCAACCTCGTGGGTTTTCTCCGGGTCCTCCGGTTTTCTCCCACTGCTAAAGACCCCTACGCGCAAGCGAATTATTGAAATAAAATTAAACCATATGTTAGTCCCAAAATGACCTAGTTTGTGTTGAGTGGACGTTAAACCCCATTTCTCTCTCTATCATTACATCAAAATACACAATTTATTATTTATCCACATTTAAATCAAAAACATCTGATATTATAAATATTAAGTACACCCAATGTATACTCGTCAAAAAAAGAAAAGCATAGCTCATTTTTTGTCATTTTGTTATTTTTACGGGATAGTTTCTTCCATAAATCTTACTTGTTTTTAATGTTATTATGTAAGTATAAAAGAAATTCATGATTGGTTTTAAATGTATGGAATTGTGTCTGGTCATACTTTTTGCCGGTTACGGCAACCCTTACATTTTTGTCCTGTATGCTCTCTATGGGTGTGTTTCAATGAATCCAGTATTTTTCTAATAAGATTGGATGTTTCTACTTTCCATATATATATATCTATCAACATTGCCATACTTTTATTGGAAATAACCACATGATAAATACTTTAATTAAAATGATAGACAACGTTAAAGTAGCTAAGTCTCTAACTCAATATCATTTAAAGTCTTCGACATTGAAAACACGAATTATTTGTCAGATTAAATCAACATTGATGTTGTGATCTTACCGGGAAAAGATGGGCTTCTGATATCCAATATTCAAGACAAAATAAACATTTTACCATTGGTACACGAATCGTGTAACATAATGCGTTTCAGCGCCAAGGGACTCAAAGAACGAGGCTAGACATATTCCACAAGTCATGTCAAATGGTGACGCTATATTCTTATCTGGAGAGCATGCGCAATAAGTACCATCGGTGTAGACTGGAATAACCAGACGCTAAAGATTGCCATTCAATTGAGACTTCTGGCGTATTTCTCCGAACACATGTGATTAGAAATTAAAGTAAAAACAGAAAAGATTTAATGTAAATCAGTTTATATACATTCCTATACATTATTATATGCGTTGCGACCCATTTGTGTCAATTTCTAGGTCCTAAATATTAGCGATTTAGCTCATTTAAGTTTGATTGTAGAAGATATTAGTTAGATAATATTTATTAAAACAATTATACAAACACTAAAATAAACTATATATAAAAGATAAACTACCCATAGATAACTTTAACTAGCCAACCTCACTGGTTTTCTCTGGTTTTCTCCTGTTTCCCCCCTTAGCTAAAGACCCATACACACAAGCGAATTATTGAAATAAAATTGAATCATATGTTAATCTCGAAATGACCTACACACCCCCCTCCCTCTCTCTCTCTCTCTTTCTCTCTGTAAACAGAGGAAATGAATAGCGGAAAAACAGTGGCGAATATCAAATCTAGAAATACACAGGCAAATATATATCAAATGTAAAAATGAGAATAACACTACAATAAGAAATGCAAAACGTCGTCATGTTATGAATCTTGAGAATTGCGGTAATAACCGTGAAATTCACAAGATTTTCAATAAAATCCCAAATAAGACGGACCAGATCAGACTCTCTCAGTTAATCGGGACAAATGATTTTGTTAATTTTTTTACAACCAAAGTTGATACTATACGATCAGGTCTTGGAACAAATCCACTCGCTGACTCTCAGGATAGTAATACTAACTCTGGTGTGCAACTCTCAACATTTAGAATCGTATCTAATCTTGATATAACTAAGATCATCAAAGCATCAGCATCAGCATCGTGCACGCTGGATCCCATTCCTACTTGACTACCAAAACAGTGTCTTGATTTATCATTTGCTTGATAAAGATGAGAGTATCATCCTCGAAACGTTGCATGTCAATAAACCAGTAATTGTTATTCCATAATTAAAATACAGATGTGACGTCACCCTTTGATGTTGGCGTACTATTATTTCAAATAATCGTACGGGCAACTTGCCAATAGTACTTTATTCATACCAGTGAGATATTGGACTAGTGTGACGTAAAAGCTCGTGCGGAGTGTCAGTATTTTAAGATGTTTAATGGTCTCGAGCTTACGACATTGCGTAATATATTGTAAAAACATTCGGGCCTACGGCCCTCATGTTGTTACAATATATTACTTAATGTCTCGCTCTCGACCATTAAACAATACATAGTGTTTAGTATGTTACTGTTCAATTACTTAATGTCACTTAAAGAAGATGTATCTAACAATATTAATAATAATTTTACAAATATATAAACAAAGACACTTGATCAGATTAAAACAAATGACATTTATTCAATAGTACGGAAGCGTATAGGGGTCATGCAAAATTTTGTAGAAGACCTCGAGATTCTGCGATCCTGTGATACTTTCTCGAGATCTCAATTTAATGTTCTCGAAATCCCCTAATAAATTTCTCGAGAATCTCCCATCCTGCGTTAACGATCTCGAGAATTCGAGTTAATGTTCTCGGGATCTTGCCATTCTGTGTAAATTTTCTCGAGATCTCGGGTATTTTTATGTGTGCGCGTAGTATTAACGTATTCTCAGCGCCCCACAACCTGTTGTTTCGGAGTTTACCCCCCCCCCCCCCCACACACACACACTTTCCCGAAAACCTTAATAGCACGATAGAGCCTACAGTTTTTAACGGTTTTGTTTAAAATTTTGTGTTTTAACGGATTTTCGATATTCAGTGTTCCGCGACAAGGATAACCCCTGTTAATTTTCAGCAATATAAGATTTCTGTCCCAGAGAGATATATAACAAGCACGCGAACACGATAGAGATTAAATTTCTTGATGAATGCTAGACCCTTATACAATTTATTAAACAACCAAGTTTTCCTTTCGAATAGTCTGCTGTTGATGCATAGATGCCGCGTGGGCGTATCTCCACACTTTGCGTGACTATCGTTTAAATTTCTTTTGAAACATTAGTGTCACATACGGAAGCCTAATAGGGCAACATATTTTTTTTATTATTCTATTTTCAATTTTTCAAGTTACTAACTTGAAGTTTCAAGATACTAACTTGAATTTTCAAGATACTAACTTGAATTTTCAAGATACTAAATTGGATAATTCCACTCTCGCTGGTTCAAAAAAGGCCTTATTCTAATTTCTAAATGTGTTAGTGTTCTGCCTTCAGTTTAAATCATCTCAT